CCATTAATTAATAGAATGATGGTATTTCTGTTGCTTTCTAATGGGAATCAGAGATGTCTGTGGTAGAATTGCAGTAGAAAAGGCTTGTGTCCTAAGTGTGTGTGCACTGCATGAGACGGTGAAATTAGGTATTTCCAGTTTACTGAGCTCCTCCTTTCTCCTGTAAATTCACACTCCAGAACCATATAATAGACCTGTATAGAAATTATGGTGTAAGCTTCTGGTTTCATGCACTGCAGCAGTAGCTGGCACCCCCATGAAAATCAAAAGCTGACTGTGCTGAATGCAGATATTAGAGGTCCTATAAACACCACAGAAGGAGAGTGGCAAAAGCAGACTGAAGGATTACTTCATACTGAAGGGCAACGAGTCACCGGTAAATGACCTTTATAAAAGGAGATTTAGAAAGTAGCATCAAAATAGTGTAAAAAGGATTTTCATAGTATTTTGAGAAGAACAATCTACACTATTTCAATTCCTCAGTCCTTCAGTCTGGAATTATTCCTTCCTGTGCTTCCCAGCTAAAAATTTCCAAGAGAATAAAAATACTTCAGGGAATCAGAGACCTGTGACAGTACCCAAGTGAGCATAATGTCTTTAATGGTGGTGAAATATAGTATCATTTTGGCCGTGACATTTCTAAGAAGCAGAGAAAAATTAGATGACTACCTAAAGGGACTTTGTTCAGGTCTTGATCTCTCCTGTGGTGAACACAGCCATCCCTCCGTGGAGCGAAGAACCCAGCACTGATAATGCTTTTTTGTACAGATGGAGTCTTATGGTTGTTTATACTGACACTTCCAGAATATATTGTGAGATAGAGAAAGAGAGGGCTAAGCCTTTCAGTTTGACCAAACCACATTTTTCCTTCTATTTAATCCCATGGGTAATCAGAGTAGTACTCCTATTCCTCCCATTTTTGTCTTACAGAAAGTGTGGCAAGATACTCTCTCCTGTGCAATTTGGAACAAAGCTCTGATCAAGGCCAGGATATAAGGACCGATAAAATTATCAGGTAGTCATTGTGTCAAGTGACTCAGAGCTCTGGAATTAAAAGACATGATTATCAGGCATTGAAAGGTACTAATTCGTACTTTTATGGCAGCCCTTCTTTGAAGCCAAGGTGATTTTTAATCAATTAAATATTAAATACAAACTGGAGAGAATCTGTACCTCTTTGTTTCATCTTTCCACATAACTAAAATAAGTCAAAATAATATAGTTGAAATAGTCAGGCAAAGTACAAGTCTAAAAAGTCGAACATTACTGACATTTTTTTGCAGACTAAACCATGTAGGTTGCCCGCAGCCTTACTGAACAGTGCAAGAAATGATAATGCCACACTTTCCACCCTAATTGTGCATGTATTTCACAACTTCTCCTGCTCAGTACAGTCAAGCACTGATTTCAACATTTCTCCAGAAAAAGGTGCCTACAAACGTCACGATCCTGGCTTGTAATGAAATAACTTAATTGCAGTATTTCGTGGTGCATTTTGTGCGATTGACTAGGTTGCTAATGCTCAGAGAAAGTGATGTGCACGTAAATAAAACGAACGCTTGAGAAGTTAATTTGGCCTGGCAATCACAGCCCCGCCTGGCATGACCGAATATCGGAGCTCTCTCGTTGTGGCATTCATGCGGTGAACACTTTCGTGTGGTCAGCCTTCGACAGGCCACGGACGCACACGCCTCGCGTTACCGGCAAGCGCCATTGCCGGCCGGGGCGGGGCGGGGCCGGAGGCGGGGCCGGGGCCGGGAGCGGTGCCGGGCGGCGGGCCGGTCCCGCCGGCGGCGCTCTCCTGGTGTCGGCAGAGCAGCCTCAGTGCCGTTCGTCGGCCCCGAGCAGCTGAAGGGAGCGGCCCGCGCCTGGCCGCCGCCGTCTTCATCACCCGCGTTCGATTTCTCCGCGGAGTGCCGTAGGGAGAGCGCGCAGCCCCGCGGCGGAGGAGCCCCGCGCCGCGACCGGCGCAGTCCGGGAGCGAGTGCGGAAGGCCGCGGCCGCTTCGGCTCCCGCCGGGGAGCTCGGTGTCGTGCCGGCCGCTCGTGGTGACTCGCCCGCCCGGCCTCTGCACTCACGGCCCCGAGAGCGGAGAATGCCAGGCACTGCTCCTTCCCAGAGTCACGGCGCAGAGAATAGCGCACACGGAAATTGGCCGGGTAGCTTTTAAATGCGTCTGCATCACAGAAATTGCAATACAAGCACAAAACGTAAAGCTAGTTTTCCAAAGACAAGCAGCATCCTTAGTCTTAGTAAGCTTAGCTATCTTGCTGGGTATCTTCCTTTGTTGTAACTAATTGTCGTTTGAAATCAGGATCTGATTTCAGAATTTGGTCCTTTTTCTAGGAATACTGTCCAGTTTTGAAGATGAGGCTTGGGGCTGCATTAGGATATGAAGAACCAGATTCAAAGTGCAAGAAATGAGAATAAGGAATAGCAGTCCTGCTTATTGGTTCCCATAGCGGTCTGCATTGGAAAGGAGCTTTTGGATGAAAATCAACTACAGCAACAGCTTGCTATTGTGAATTCTGTAAGATTCCTGTAAGAAATTTTGAAAAATTCTCCAAATATGAAAAATCAGACAGTCACCATACCTTCATTCATTGGAAGTCTGGCGTTGGACATGTTTTGTTTGAAGCAAAAGGAAGCAAAGATTCATTTTGCTCTTTTATTCTTTCTTAGACAAAGGTAGCCATGCCCTGTTCATAGTTTATAATTAGACTCAGAAAAAAGGCAATCTCAGCTGAGGAAAAATACTTCAATGAAGACATGTATATTATAAAGAAAGCAGAGCATTTATTTTCGTAGCATAATAAAGCTGGAAAAAGTGGGATTACAAATTTGACACAAGTAACAGGCAGTCAGCTTTAAAACACACACAGATTTGGCATTTACAAATTTGACCACCTGGACTGAGTTTTCAGTTTTGTCATATTCTGGTTCATATAAAAGTACTGAATTGCAAAAAAACAAGACTGGAAGGAAATTCTGGAAATAATGTAGTCCAACTTCCCATTTCAGATCAAGATCAACTATACTCATTTGTTTCTACTTAAAAAAAAAAAACAAAAAAAAAAAAAAAAAACAAAAAAAAAAACACCCAAAAAAACAAAACCAACAACTTAAAATGTTAGAAATGGCATAATTTTTAGAACTTCTTGAGGCTTACTTTTCAAATATTTTTGCTTATTTCTGTTTAGTCTTTAATTTACACCTACTCGCAGTTCATGAAGGCAAATTCAGTTGTCCTCTAAACTGTGAATATTATTGAGAAATTATTTGCCATCAACTTTTTTTCTATCTGGAGAATATTATGATAGCCAAATCTTTTGCTATCTTCTCACTAGATGCAGGGCTTAGCTTAGGCTGTGCCACTGGAGAGTACAAGAATTACTTCATGCATTTAAGGTCTGCATACTACACACAAGTATAATGCTTACTTGTTTGCTCCTTTTTTTTTTTTTTTTTGTGGCAGGAGAATGACACTGACTCAGTTTGTGAGGCACTACGGCCCCCATTGCTTTATTTTGCAGAAATACCATACAGCCCAACAGCCCTCTCCTGAATTTGTGCATTTAATTTTATATAACATTGTTCTTACCTGCATTCTACTTTGTCCATTTACCAGACCGTTTTAAAAAAACCTCTCAATTTTAGATTGCTTGTGGATTAATAAGTGCACTTACATTGTGACCAAAGGGATTAAAGAAAACAGTGGACTAGGAACAGGATGCTGACATTTGAACCCTCACTTAAATGTACTTGTTTTGAACTGAGGATTATTACTTTCTGAGGATGAATACCAAACAAGTGTTTTCCTTACCTTATTGAAACTTCATCACCTCTATGCTTTCCTAGTTTGCTTATGAGAATCCCATATAGATACAACTTACTACAGTAAAGTTGTTTTTCTGCCATTTATGTCCTGTTCTGCCATAAGGTATCAGATCAATGTTATGCACCTTGTCTTTAGAGATCTATGTTGGCTGTTAACTCCTCTCCTTGTCTTCCAGATACAAACCTAATTTGTTACCAAAGTTTACAAGAATTTGAAAGGAATTTTGAGAAAGTGACTGGCACGTTTGCCATTTCTAGTCTTCATTATCTGCTGTGAATTTTGTAAGGTAACTGTTAACACTTCTAAAAAAAATCCCATTTCAATAATAGAGCTTAATATACGTACTGGAGTATCTTCTAATATACAAAGAAGCATCTTCTGGGATTTGAACAACCGGTCACTAAAGCATCCCTCCTGTGTAGCAATTGCAAATATTTGTAGCCTTTTTAACGTTCTTAACATGCACGTGCAAACTTGGATTTCACATTACACACGAAATTTGTAACATACTCATATTTATAGTGTTTCGCTATGTACAACCTTTTATCTATAATGATGCACAATAAGAGTTTCTTTCAGGCCAGGTGCCATTTTTTCAGATTCTGTGGTTTTGGTTTTACAACAGATTTTTAAATAAAATATACAGAATTCTCATCTATAAAATATAGAGAGGTGGTGAAATAAAAACCAGAACTTCCAAAAGTAGATTTAAATTACGCTATTCAAACTGTTTTTTAGGCAAGAGGGTGAATGCTGGAAAGACAACAATACTGTCATCATTATGTGCAAGGCTTCTTCGATTACTGTTTAGTCATACAAACACAGGGAAATTAACAGGATTTCGCTGTGCTGTGATATCCAGGAAAGGCCGTACGCGATGTTCGGGGTACGCGACGCTCGGTCCGTGCGGGAGCCCGGGCCCGGGGCTGTTTTGTACCTCAGATGCAAAGGGGATCGGGAGGGCAGGGCGCGGACGCCCCCCGCCCGGCCCGCCATGTGCTACCGGCCGACGCGCCTGCCCTCGCGCGAGCCCGGCGGACGGGAGCCGCGGGGCCCTTCGTGTCCCGGAGCTCTCGCGGGGAGGCCGAGCGGGCGGCGCCATCCCGGCCCCCCCCGCGTCCCCCCGGTAACGGCGCGGCGCGCGCGCCAATCGGCGCGCGGCAAGATGGCGGCGGCGGGAAGTGCGGCTGGGTTGGGCGACGGGCGGGCAGGCGGCCTAGGGCCCGGCCGGGCTCCGCAGCCTGTGGCGACCTGCATGGAGCGCGGCGGGAGCAGCCAGCTGGACCCTGGCTTCTCGCAGCAGGACACGCCCCTCCTCATCGTGGAGGACTCGCAGCCCCAGGGCGCGGAGGCGGACGCGGAGCGGGCTTGGCTCGGCGTGCTGGCCCGCCGGCTGCCGGCCCGGCGGAGCCCGAGCCCCGTGCTGGTGAGCGCCCGGCGTGGCGGCGGCACCACACGGCCTTGCCCGGCCCGGCCTGTCTGTGACGCGGCCCCCGCCTCTGTCTTGCAGGACATCGTCCGCGGTCCTGCTGGCAGCCGGGCGCCGCGGGAGCGACTCGCAGGTAAGGGCGGGGCGCGGGGTGATGGTAAGTCCGCGTACCGCGGCCGCGCTGACGGCGCTGTGCTGGCAGAGCCCATGGAGAGCCCGGCCCGCCCGAGCGCCTCTGGACCGCGGGACTGCGCAGCGGAGGAGTCTCCAGCGCCCGACCGGGAGAGCAGGTACGTGGGGCGGGCCAGATGGCGGCTCTCGGCCGCCGCCTCTCTGGCCTGCTGAAATCTCTCGTGCTGAGGGCAGGACAGGCCGAGAAGGCGGGCTCGCTGCTGCAGCGGCCGTGCCAGGACGTGCGGTGCGGAGGGCTCGGAGCGCCTGGTCCGTGCCGGGTGACCCCTCGAGGCGGCCTGCAGCAGTCTCTCTGTTAGCGAGTATCTCTGTTGCAGTGCCCTTGGAAAGGCCGGGGAACGAAGTGAAGGTGATGTTGAGGACTGTGCTTCTTCGCCGTGTGTAGAAGGTAACTTCCCCATTTCAGGTCGGTGTTTGGGTTTTTGGAATAGGATCGACCGTCTGTGCAGTTTTTCAGTTGAGCTGACTTACTTGTCTCACCAGGGGTAATTGTGCCGGTAGTAATAGGTCAGAAATTAGCATCCTTTTCTGAAAGTTTATTTGTATGCTTTGGTGTTTGAAAAAAAAAAAAACAAAACAAGGTTTATTTATTATTGTTAGAATGTCTTGTTTAGAATGTTTATTGTTTACTATTGTTAGAATTATTTATTATTGTTAGAATGGATCTTCAAGATTTAATGTGGTTTAGAAGAAGCAGGGATGCATTGTGGTCATTAGGAAATGGAGCCTTATTATGAACTGGCATAATGGTTGTTGTCATCAGAGGATTTTCAGACATGGGCTGTGTATTATCAAGATTATTTTCTATTCATGGAATGAAAGTCTGCTGCAGTTCCTAATGGCATTACATAAGCTCTTGCTGATTAATATAGATTTTTGAGTTAATGGCCACTGTCCGTGTTCTGATACCATGTTTTAATTAGTACAGCTGAGATCAGATCAGTTAGTTTATTCCGAGTTTCAGCATAGCTTAAATAATTTGCATGTTAGAGGATATATCTTTTGCCCTTGTAAAAGTGATAGATGGCACTTGATTCTTTCTTTTTGGTATGTATGTTTGTAACGGATGTCTGGTGTTAGATACAGGCATGTCACAGCTCCAGTTCGGAGTTCTAGAGCTGTCACAGAGCCAGGACTTGGAGAGTGACTTAGTGCCCAGTGAGGGAGATGCTAGGCATCAGCTCCACTCTGGACCCACTGTCCTTTCTTCCAGACTTGTTAAGAATGAATCTAAATATGGTAAGTGAAAATGATCATAGATATCTTCTTGCTGCTGTGTAGATTCTATCTGGTTTCTTTAAATTATAAATGTTATGTTTTTTTGACAGGAAATATGGTGCTAGTAGTTTTCAAAAATGAGTTCACAGCTCGCTGGTAGTTGCAAAGAGTTTTGCCCCATCTTTCCTTTGGACTGATTAATTTGTTTTCTTGTACCTGTCCAACTGCTATCATTGATTCTTTCGCTTCTCTTTCCTAATTGGTTTCCAAAGTATTTAGACAATCTGATACTGAATTCTCTCCCTGGTAAAAACCTCATCCTGGGTTGTTTTTTTTTCCCTTCTTGTTATAGATAGTCAAAAATATTTTTTTTTTAATATAAGGCTTGCCTTGGTATTTCTGTAAATTACAGACCTACATTTTCTTATTTGTATATTAATCCAGGTATTTTTATTTTACGTCTCTTCCCAGAATTTTGTGCAGACAACACAGAAACTGACTCCATTACAGAAGCACATACTGCTTTGGAAACCCAAGCAAAGAAGTCTGAAAGGTAAAGCAGTCTGTCTCCTCTGTAGGTTATTTGTTGTGGGCACACAGTTTGTGGTAATTGGGAGTGGGGTGGGCTGCCCCAGCCCCAGTGGGTGCAGCTGTGAAAAGCAGGTGAGCAGCACTGACAGCAATGAGACGTGGAGTGCCCAGGTGTGCTGAGCAATCACCAAAGGGAGCAGAGGGCAATGCATGAACATCAGGGGTATAAAAGGCTGGGCTAAAGAATAAGGGCAGATGCTTGAAGCCTTCTGCAGTGGTGTGGTGTTACTCTGTATGGGTAGAAGCTTTCTGAAATCGTATGAGGCTGTGCTGTGTATCGTGGCTGTCTCAACTGCGATATATGCTGCAATAGTTTGTTGGCATTCTGGAAGGTGATTTATTTATATTTTTACTAGATTTTTAGATTTGGAAGAGGGTTTAAGGCAAAAGAGAAAGGTAAAAGGAAAGATGGCATACTGCTGAGGCCTTTTTGCAGCAGTGCTGACTAAGGAGTGCTCTTAGTATTCCTTGGTGAGAAAAGATGTGATGTCAAACTCCTAAACACAGAGATACTGATAGGTTTGTTTTCAAGGGCGGTTCATGACATAATAAAATATGCCAGTAACTTTCCTAAAATGGTATAACTGGAATATGCTAGAAGCAATAATTCATGTTGAGTCATGGAAGTTGTCTTGAAATAACTTAATCACTGTAGCATGGGCCTTGGCTGCACAGAGGAGCTCTGGAGGCTAAGTGGTGGGTAGTCCAGGATGCTTTTGTGTATTTGCTATTGTAAGCTTTGTTTTAAGTGTTTTTAAGTGTGAAACTTCAGTTTGTTGAATAGTATTTATTCTCTCTGGCATAAAATTTATATAATATTTAGCTCTTCATGTATTATTGTATTTTGCCACAAAATAATGTTAAAGAGGTGAAGTGAAATTCCTAGAGTCTACGTTGAATAGAAGTCAGTAGAGCATCTGCATTCCATTTAAACATCACTTAGATTGGTATAAAATGTAGAAAACTGTTCTGAAAGTATAACTTATCAAGGATGAAAATGTCATTTTGTCAGGCGAAGCTGGTTTTCTTTCTTCTCTCCTTTTTTTGCCCTGTGTTATACATGAGTGAATGTCTTCTATCTGTTACTGATAGATTTTCTTTGCGATGTTGTGGTCTTCACATTTTGAATTTCTCAGGTCAATGACTGTGTCTTGCATTTTCAGAACTCTGCAGGAAGCAGAAGAGCATACCAGAAAGGAGACACATGTCAGTGGTGCTTGTAAAACTGAGGAATCCCTTGGTTCTGGTCATGAGGAGTCAGATATCTTGTCAACACAGGAAGAGATGTTTCCCGAGAATCATGCAACAGGTAACAACAGACAAGCAGAACCAAAATATCCATCCCAGAGATAGTTATAAACACCATACCTACTTGATCTTCATTTAGTGTTTTAGGGTGTAGAGCACCGTGAGTATTTTTCATGTAACTTCTGCTAAAATTGAGAACGCTTTGGAAATGAAAGGACGCAGCCTCATTCACTACAGTGTGGAACAATATCTAAACGTCACTTCCTGTTAGAATGGTTACTGGCTTGTTAAATACATTTAATTTCCTTTGTTTCTGTGCCTCTTGAAGAGCAAAACCAAAACCCAACTTTTACCCTCTTCTGAGGGAAGTTTTAATCTTCTGAAACTAATGATGCTCTGCCTTTTTAATGACACACCAGTGTGGATAAGTAGTGTGGGCAAACTTCTGCCCAGTGTTGTCTGTTCTGGCCTGACCTTCTGAGTGAACCTTCTGTATCCAGAAGATTCAGTAACAACCTTCTCCTCACACTGAGTTAGTGGTCAGTGCAAGGTGTCTTTTCTTACAAGAAACTTGCCTATATTTGTATTCTAGTGCTGGATCAGGTGAGCTGATATTGGAGCCATTGGGGATTTTTAAAAATTCCCAGGTTGGAAGACTTGTACAGTCTAAAATCTATTCAGATTTTTCTTTTTCATCTGAACTATTTTGTGCTCACATTTCACATACTGAATTGTCATGTGCAGTCCTTCACCAGCTCTGAAAATCAGCTTGTTGTTGCCTATCTGAAAAGGAGTTGTGCAATAGCATGAGTTTAATTCCTTGGAATTTTCTAATCACTGTGGTTTTTGACTGTATTTCTATCTTTGTTTTCTTTTGTTCAAAGCAGCTGCAGGGAGTGGCTGTCCGATAACCAGGATGGAAGAGGGAAGTTCTCTGGCATGCACTCCTGCCCGCAGTCTGCAAGTCCTGCAGCTCTCTGGACAGGCATTCCTTGTACAGGAGGGTGATTCCACGTAAGCGAAAAACCCCCAAACTCTTTCAAGAACTTCGTTGCAGTAATGCATTCCCCCTATTCTTTTCATTATTCAAGGACTTGTGCTTGATTTTAAGCAATCAGTGTTTTAATTTTGCACTATGAGAGGAGCATGGCCTTATTTTGCAATGAAATGAGCTAATGGTGGCCTTGTGATCCCTTACTGTCACTAGGCTCTTACTGGTGAACGCCTGACACCTTTCATGAGAAGAGTTGTATTGTGGCAAGCTGGAGCTTGATAGGAGAACTTAATGCATTTTTTAGTGAGGCGTGGTTTTCATTTCCATGTTTCCTTTTGGTTTGCAGTGTCTCTTCAGGCCTAGCTATTCCTCCTCCTGTTTCCTTTGGACCAAATGCCCTTGTCCCCAGCAGCCCTACTGAACAGGGGAGAGCAGAAGGTAACATTTTTCTGCATACTGTCTGTGGTCGTGTTTTTGTGCACTGGTTTAGTCAGAGCTTGCAGCCTTTTCAAAATCTGTTAAAATTATGTTTAAAGAATAAAGTAGGACTGAGAACAGTGAAGGGGTAGATGAAAGGAGATCTGTATTTCTGATTGTTGTTTAGGATTCTTTATCTGCTATTGGTATTTCCTGCATAGCTATCATAATTAAATTAGTGCTGTTGACCAGTGTCCCTTCATTTGAATGATAGGAGATGCTTTGTGTGGCATACAGATTTCTGCTGGCAATTATCTTCTTTAGGAACAAGCCATTCTTGCTACAGGCAGAAACCTGTATTATGTTAGGGCAGTACGAAGGACAGATAAGAATTGCATCATAATAGGTTATTTTACCTTAATATAGACAACTTCCACAATATTTGTAAAACCTTTCATGTGCTACAAGTGTGTATCCTAAATTTTGATGCCTAAAGAGAAATTTTTCTATATGATGCATTGGTTATTAAATATTTTCTCTAAGCATACATTTACCATCAAGGATAAGTTGTCCATCCCCACAGGTTTTTAGTACGATACAAAATCAGATTTTCCTTTCTGAGAGATTCCTGTCACAGAATGTGAAATACTGTTACAACAGATATTTTGTTAGCTGGGGTCTGAATTTAGTTGCATTTTAATAAAGATGGCAAAAGGAAAATAAATACCTCAGAAAAATGCCTTTTTTTAAAAAAAATAAGTTTCAGACACTTTTTTCCTAATTTTAGAAGTTCTAGACCTGCAGCAAAATACTCATATGAATTTGTAACAAAACACTTGCTTCTCCCTTTGAAAGTAAGAATACGGATGTTTTTGTTGATTTTTTTTTTTCCCCTTACAAAAAGAATGCCGCTGGAGACGAGATTTACAAAGTTAAATACACCACTGAAGACAAATCTTTTAGTATGATGTTGAAAACTTAGATACAACACAAGAATGTAGTGCTAATATCTTTTCTGCTCTTTCAAACCAGATGAACAGATGGATATATCTGTGCCCGCAGATGGAAGAGAACTGACGCAAAAGCGGAGAGGAGATATGCTGGTGGAGATGGCCTTTCCTTGTGTCCCTCCAAGACCTCTTGTTCAGCCACAGGCTTCAACTCCAGTGTCCCAGAGTGCCCCAACCTTCTTTCCTGGATCTTTAGCTATACCATCACAACCAGAGTTCTCTCATGTAAGGGTTCATGTATATAGCTTTTCTGGGGTTTTTATATGGCTGATGCATAAGATGTGTTTGAGTCAACCTCTGTTCTTTTATGTTGAGCTTCCCTGCTAAGCTGTTCCCACTAGTTGCAGTTATATATTAGTCATACTGTGTGGCAGTTTTTCCTGCAGAAAAAATGCAGAACAGCTTAAGAGGGCATAGTGAGTTACAAAACATAGAAGCTGTTGACTTAGACTGTTGTCTTCTTATGCTGAACTGGCCATCCTGCTTCTCAAACTGCATCATAAATTAGTTTTTTATTGGCCAAGACCTTAGCATCATTTTTGTGGAGAAAGGGAAGCTGTTCCATAATAAAGTATTTTTATTCTACAAGGCTAGAATTTATTTACTGCATTTTTCAAGTTTCTTATTCTTGCTGTTGTTTCCTTTGTGTATTTTGATTCTGAAAATTACAACTGTTCAAAAGGATTTAAGAGTTTGTGAGTTTATACCTTAATATTACGAATGTTATGAACTTGCTAGAAACTTCACTAGTTGAAGCAGTGCTTCTCCTGAGCTGAAAACAGCATTTGTGTTAATATAATAGATACCACAGAGAATCTTTCCAATACCCTTGGTGGTTCAAGTAAAAATAGCTACTAATTTGTCATATTTGCCCTGTATTTTGTGATTTGGTAGTGAAAGATACCAAGGGTTGTGTCTGACTTTGCTGAAGGTATATTAATTAGTAATGTGTGGTGATAATTTTTCTCAGCAAAAACAGATCAATCATGTCTCTCATAAATGTGTGGGAAAAATGTTTTGGATGTTTTTGTTTTCATTGTTTGTTTTTTAATCTGTAGTTTTTTGCTAAACTTGCTCTGATCCATAATCCAGTGTAATTTTTTAGGAATAATAAACAGTCCTACTTGGGATGTCCTAATACTCCATGTCCCACTTTTCTCATTTTAGGATATCTTTGTTCCAACTCAGAGTCCAGAGAATAGGCATGAAGAAGAAAAAACTGCTGGTTTAACCCCTTTATGCTTACCAGGAGATCTCTCTGGATCTACAGATGCTTTGTCAAAGATGTCTACAGGTGACTCTGTGTCACAGCCTCCTGATTCCTGTAAACTGATGCTTTCTGCAAGTGGATGTAGCCAGCCCACGAATACAGACATCAGTTCAGACTCTTTGAACACGGGTCAAGACAGTGAAACCACACAGGTAGAGAGAATTTCTGAATGCAAGGCCTCAGACTCAAGACTCTGTTCTGTGGACAATGATAAAATAAAACTAAAAGTGAATGCAGGTGATCAAGCACCCTCTGAAAACTGTGAAAAAGCAAAAAAGGAGGATGTAGAGACTGCAGGAATGCCTGTAGGACAGTTTGTTAGTGCAGGTGTTGCAGGAGATGGGCCATTAGCCTCTGCAGTTCATCAGGAGATTGAGTGTATTTCTGGAAGTCAGGCTGCTGCAGATCAGTCTGGTCTGCCTGAGATTTTGTCATATGCTCAAGAGACTTCCAGACCTGAGGCAGTTCCTGAGACTCAGTGTGAAGAACAAGAAGAAAAACTGCAAATAAAGGAAGATAAGTCTCTTGTTAATATAACACTTTCTCATAGGTTTATTCTTGAAAGGGAAGGACAGTGTCATGAAGATACAGAGGTGAATGATTCTTGTAAAAATAGCAAAAACGTAGCCCAGGAATTAGAAGAGGTTGGACCAGAATGCCAGGGAAAAGAAGCTTTGAAAGGTTGTACTTTTGATGCTGGAGAGGCAAAGAGCCTGGATAAACTGTCTACTAACATGGCAAAGCTCAATGAAGTTTTAGCTAAGCCTTCTGTAGGGGAGGCACTGGAGCAGCGCGATTTGCTTCCGAACTTAAAGAGTGATGTCCAATCAGAAGTGGCGTTGTGTGCCAAAAACCATCCCGATTGTTCAGAATTGGGACAGGTAGTGATAAGCAATCAGCCATCACTTCAAGAGAGAGGGTTTGAAACACATGTGGTTCAGCATGAGAATCCAGTAGTACAGAATATGGAGGATACTGTTACGACAAGGAATCTGGAGCAAGAAGAGCAAATGCAGCCACAGGAGAAGGCAACTTCTAAATCCCCCAGTCCTTCCAGTGGTAAGTGAATATAGGTTAGTAGTTCACAGGTGTGTATTTTGAGTAATGTCAAGGAGAGCTGTATACAATCCTGAGTGTTTTCAGGGAGCACTGCTATTAGATGCAAGTTGAGCAGCACTATACCTTACTGTGTTATATGCAGAACATGACTTCGCTGTTTTCTCCTGTGGTGTAGTTCTTGTTCCTTTCTACTTTAAGGTAGAAATGCAGGGCAGCTTGAAGAACTGAAGACTCTGTGACCTTGGCAATGTTCAGGGATTTTTGTGACTTCTCCCCCACTCAAGAAGCAACAACAGCAGGGTCCTTGAAAGGAATAGGGTGTGTGGTAGTCAGTACTTTCCCTCTTGTAGGTCTCCTTATTTTCTTTTTCCTTCCTTCTCAGAGGAGAACTTTCTTTGTGGGGATGTACAGAGCAACTTTGAGCTAGAAGCTAATATAGCAGATTTTGCTTGAGATTTTTTAAAAGTGGAATGGCTTTTCACTCACATGTAAGCTATGGCTCAGCAGGTATTGTCATGATCCATTAAAATAATTTAACATGCTGTGTGTCATTTTACAAGATGTGGGATACGACTTCTATTTTGTTTTTGCCTCTTAGCTGGTTTCATCTTTAAACACAGTTCTCTAGCCCTTAAATGAGAATGAACAAAGAATGATTTTAGTGTCAGAATATGTATTTTACCCCCCTATGAAGTCTGTTAGGAAAAGTGAAAGACTGTAGGACCTCAAATGTTATTTAATGTTAAGTTGTACAATGACGTTTTTGCTACAATATTCTTGATTTCCTTTAACTGAAAGAAGAAGAAATAGCTTTACTATATAGAAAATAATGCTTTGAGGGGATCTAGTCAAAATACTGGTCAGGAAGTTCAAAGGTATTCTGATTCCATTGCATTTTGTGATCAAAGATGAATTTTTCTGTGAACAAGTCCACGGCATTTGGGACTGCAGATTTTGTAAGATGATTTGGCATAGTCAGGAGAACAGTACTGGTCTTCAAACTTAAGAAGAGTATGGGTTTTATTAAGTAAAACAACTTTGGCAGTACGCTGCTAAAATGATGATAAAGATGAATAGCTGCAGTTACATAACAAGGTTAAATGTCATGTTCCACTTCAGTATTGTTTTTCACAATTTTCACAGTCCAAAACTTCCTTTTTAAGAGAGCATAAACTAAATTGTGTTTGACTTTGGATAATATTTTGCCTCTCATACTGTACTGAAAATGTTTTGGTTTTTTTCTTAGACAAATCTAAATGCAATTTAAGAACATCCCAGTTGGCTGGGTTTACTTTTAAAAGGGAACTGTAAGCCATTTTTAAAAGAAAATTAATTCCAAAATGAATGCTTGTTTATTTTTTATGCATTTGTATTAACTAAAGGGCTGATCGGTGTTAGGAGAGAGTTCAGGCTTTTGACCTACTCTACCTAATTGCCTTCAGACTTGTGAAGCATGGTGGAAAAAGTACGTAGAGTGGTATTTACTCTCCTGCCATCACTCAGTCCTTAAGGTATGAAGAGCTGTAGAGCATCTCTCTACTCTTAAAGCAGCTTTGTTATTGTAATAATTATTTTCATGATAAATATTTTAGGAGTATAATCCCTTATCAACAAATTATGAAGCATAAATCAGTAAGCACAAACTTTAGGTGGGGGCTTGCTAGGGGTCCACTGTCTCTTCTTTCAGGTCACTGACAAATAAGTTGAGGGTGGACCCTGCAGTGACCCCTGGGGACACCACTAGCTACAGGCTCCCAACCAGATTCCGCACCACTGATCACAGCCCTCTGAGCTCTGCCGTTCAGCCAGTTCTCGACTGACCTTGCTGTCTGTTCATCCAAACCACACTTCCTGGGCTTACCTATGTGGATGCTTCAGGAGACAATTTAAAAAATCTCCCTGAAGGCAGTGTGTAGACACCATGCACTGCTCTCTTCTCATCTGCCCAGCTAGTCATTCCATCACTGGGGGCAATCTGTTTGCTCAAGCGTGATTGCCCCTTGGTCAATCCGTGCTGACTACTCCTGATAACCTTCTCCTCCATGTGCTTGGTGATGACAGCCAGGATGATTTGTTCCATCTTTCCATGGATGGAGGTGCAACAGTGGCCTAGTTCACCGAGTCCTCCTTCTTGCCCTTTTTGCAGACTGGAGTGACACTGGCCTTCTGTCCTGAGGCGTCTCCTGTACTCCATGACCTTTCAAAGATGAGGGAGTGTGGCTTGAGTAAGTTTTAGGTTATCAGTTCAGGCAACATGTAGCTTTGCCAGCTCATTTCTGTCCTAACCTTTATTTCTGTTTTTTGACCTCATTTTCCTCTTCTATGGAATATCCTGAGCATCTCTGAAGCAAAGCTGCATTCTGTAGAAGTCCTACTCATAGGATATTTAGTCTCCCTTTTATCTAGCACCTGGGAACAGCTGCATTCAGTTGACCACAGTCTAGATTTTCACTGAGAGAGATTTTTCACATAAAATGTGAGGACTGTCAGTTAGAGCAGCTGTTCAGGGGGGTTTTGTACAGCACCAGTGTTATGCTTTTCCCTATTTCCACAGCACAGTTGAATATGTGCTTTTGATACTTGAACTAAAGTAGATCCTTGAAATTACTAATTCTGGTGCTCTGTGTCTTTTAGGAACCCAATTTCATTTTACTTTGCCGAAGGAGGGTGATGTCATTCAGTCCTTAAGTAGCATAACACCACCTCTTACTGGCCATCTCAAAATGGGACCCAGGAGACACAGCACACCAATTGGTGAGTCTGACCCAAATGGCTCTATTCTGCAATGAAAGCCTGGGAGCTTTTGATTCTTGATGCAGCATGTATTAGGGTAACTCAAACCTGCCTTGGCAAAAAATGGCTACATTGCTGTTCTGTGGGGGGGACGCTTATCCCTTCCCCATAGTTTCCTTGTCATGTTTTCTCAGTCTCTAGTGAAGGTGTTTGCTCCCTGAGTACAGGGTGGCATGGAGCATGTCTTCCTTGCACTCACTGTGGTCCTGTATACAACTCATTAAAGAATGTAAAAGAGCCTTCTGAGTAGCAAAAGAGCTTAGACCAAGAGGATTGCTTCCAGTGTTCATCATCTTTTATTAGGACTTTCTCTGCTAGGTTCACAAAACAGCATCCTGCAACTGCTAGATGAAAAGAAGTCTGTTCTGTTTGGGTAGTAGTAAATTATTCTGTCACAAACTAAGGATAGTACCTGTGCTACAGAATTTTCATGCTTCAGATCTCTAGAAAGGAATTTCCACTACAGCAGCATTATTAATAATGCATGCAGTGAAGTGTCTTCAAACCAAAACTGGGACCTCAACCCCAGCAGTGTGAATGACAATAGCTACTTCTTGTTTCTTGTTTTTGTTTTTCTGTTTTCAGTGGATGATACTTGCCCAGACAGTACTATAGCAACCAGTGATGTTACAGCAGAGGGCACAATGGGGACCAACAATGTCACTGTGGAAAGTGCAGTGGTATCAGCAGATGTATTAGAAGTGTATGAGAAAGGAGAGTCTGGTGTGGTTCCTGAGTCGGAGGCAAAACTTTCTCTGCGAATGAACCTTGTTACCCCTGTGAATGATGGGAGCGAGGAGTCCTTGCCGTTCAGCTTGGAAAGTAAGAGGATAAAACCTGAAGTGTATGGGTCCTACTGGATCTCAGCCCTAACTCAAAAACTCCCAAGACAGTCTCTGAGTCCCTGTAATTTTTCTCATTTTTCTTTTTGGGCAGTGTCACTTAAATTTGTTTCTCTGTTTCTGCAATGCTCTAAGCAAGGATGAAGTGAGAGGAGAGGCTTCTGTTGTGAGGAAAGGTATTTCCAGCAGACTACAAATTGTGATGTATAGTGGCAATGGTACACAGGACAGGAAGTGAAGTTTGATTGTGTTGGGTGGGAAAAGATATATATAGATAAGCAAACCATAGAATGGTTTGGATTGGAAGGGACCTTAGAGATCACATAGTCCCAACACCCCCTGCCATGGGCAGGGACACCTTCCACTAGGCTGGGTTGCTCCAAGCCCCATCCAGCCTGGCTTTGGACACTTCCAGAGTTGGGGCAGCCACAGCTTCTCCAAGCTTTTAAGTGCTGAAACGCTACAATGAGGTGTCTCTGGAGCCTTCTCTTCTCCAGGCTGAACAAGCCCAGCTTTCTCAGCCTGTCTGTGTGGGAGGGATTCTCCACTTCATCTCATCATATTTGTTGCTTCCTCTGGACCTGTCCATAATCTGGAAAAAAAAGTTTGACAGGATTTTAACTAGAGCAGTGGCATTCAGTCTGATAATTTAGAACTTGTAGAAATGTAGGTCTGTTCTGAGACGTTGGATGGGGAAGCCTGGGCACCCTTTGTCCAGTGTTACTCAGCCTCTCTTCACTGACTATATGGAGCTGGGAAAGGTCAGGAGAGTCCTTTTGGATGATGCCAAAATCATCCTTCCCTTCCTTCTTGTTTCAGAGCCTGCAACCAGTGACAGGAAAGATGGATCCTCTGCTGCTGCTGAGGCTGCTGCTAGGTAACTGGGCTTCTTGCTGGGCAGAGTTAATACGAAGGTCTGGGTAGATCCTTTCTCCACATATTATCAGCTGTAGGGAGAAAAAAAATTAGAAGGAGACACAGAAGCAAGGAACATTCTAGCAGTAGATATGATATTAACTCTATAGCTGTTGCAGTAGGTTTTAATTACATAGGCAAAGTGGGAACCCCACTTGTTTGTTCATTATGGGCTCTGTGGTTCCTACTAATACCAGCATTTTGCCTCCATTTGATTGTGGTCAAAGCCAGAAATTCATGTCTTGCGCAGTCCAGAATGCAAGTCTGCCTTATCTGTCTCTTAAATTCCAAATATATGGGTTTCTGCTGTCTTTCACGGTGCAGTTTTCTGTGAAGAATCTCTGAGAAGTTCTGAAAGAGAATTGTCTTTTTGGTAGAAAGCTGATAGAAACTCATAATCAGTTCATGGATATACAGAAGTCACAGGTTAACATTTTGACCAAAACATCGAGTTATTCCCTTGGTCTTTTGATTTGTATGTATCTATCTTACATCACATTTAATGTCTAGCATTGCTTGATTTAGTTTGCAGGGAGTAATGTTTGTAAATACTAATGGGAATCTCAGTAGGAAGATGGTGACTTGTAGTAATCTGAGTGAAGAGCAGTGGTTTGACGTAGTGAGAAAACATAGGAATAAAGTCAGCATCTCTTGTTACAGGATAGCTTGGTAGATAGTAATCATGCCTCAGTGCTGAGGATGGATGATAGTAATTGCTCACTGGTTGAGGATGGGTTACCTTTGTAGGTATAGGATGAATATGAACTCTCAGGGTCTGCTTTATGACTGTCCTTCCCAGTATTTTTGTGGTGCTATGAAATTCCTGAGAAGTAAGCCATAAAGGGTCTAACTGTGTCTTCTGGTGGGTACCAGAGGCAGTATAAACTCTTGATGGCGCTGCAGTTTTCCACACAACAGTTTCTGGTTAGTATGTCTTCAGAAATGACAGAAATGCTTGTGCAATTGCAGCTTAATTCTTGATCTTTGAGATAGATCATCAGTCATTCTGTGCCTGTGTAGGTCAACAAGTTCAATAGTCTTTGTTGCTCTCATGAGGAGGTAGAGAATTCTTGTTTTGCTCTATGAGGGTTTTTCTCATTTCCTGATGCATTTTTGTTTGTTTGTTTGTCTTAAATCTGCACTGCTAGCTCCCAGAAAGCATCATCTGTGTTCAGTCGTGTCTGTGAAGTTCGTCGAGAGGATGAGGCCAGAGGTCATGGTCTTTCCACTTCTCCATTTAGGTAACTCCTCACAGTCTTTGCCTGCCAGTCGTGGTTGAATTTATATTCAGATGTGCGTTTTCTACGTCAAAGAAATTGCGCTAAGCCATTTTCTTTGGGTGACTCAGAAGGTTGGGGACAGTGGGATAAGTATACTAAATCTGTTTGTCTGTGTCTCACATGGTTATCAGGCTTACCTTTTGACTGAGTGGCCATGTGATTCCAGAAGACTGATATGCTTCAGTGAAGTCTTGGGTTTGAGAAAATTGCGATATTTAAGGCTGTTTAAATACCTTTTCTGTCTCCTCTTCTAAGATCTTCTGACCAGTTTTGTTTGTTGTTGCTGCTGCTATTGTCCCCCTTCCAAAGGACTGTACAGCTACATATGCTATGGTGAGGAGGGTGCTGCCTGGAGAGCTAGAAGTAGAAATCTGCTTCTTCAGTGTTTTCCATTCTATTTCTTGATGGGACAGTGAGATCTTGGTCTATGTAGCAAGAGTAACCGGAGTTTCAACAGTTGCATTAAAGACCATAACAAATAGGGAGTTCCAGTGCTGGACAAGGCACAGCCAGAAGTGAAGACAGCAACTCCTTAAAATCCTCAAGGAAAGCCAAATACATACTTCTAGTTTGCCTCAGTATAGTGTCCCATATAGTACCTGGCAGAGGCATACTTTTGGCAGAGCAGACAAATTCTAATGAAAACATTAGACAGCATTTGTGTTTATGCTACTGGGTCTTCTTGCTGCGTGTGATTATCAGTTTCAAGCCAATCAAGCACTGGAGGAGCCTGAAGGAACTTCAAGATGACATGCTTCTGGGAAGTTGCATAGTTGGTGCCTAATGTGTGGAGTGTAGCAAGAAAATTTGTATTTCAAAAAGCACTTAGTTCTATACAGTGTTTTGTGTTTTACCACCCTGTGTATCACTTGAGAAGCGTTGAAAGATTTTTTTATTATTTGAACTCTCTGAGTTCTGTGCAATTGGAGAAGCAACTGAGTGACTGCCAAGGTGAGGGTTTTTTAATACTGCTTTCACTTGAGTGGAAGCATATTGGTTGTCTTGTTTTCCTTATCAATAGTTTTGATCTGTGTGTAACTGGTTTGCAGGGGGGATCGGTTAATTTTTCCTGGCCCAAAAGAAGATGCTGAATTACATACCAATCCCAGTGATTGGCAGTACCAGCCGCAGAAGGCAGACGACAGTGGTGGACAGAGCCTAATTCCTCAGAGGATGCAGCAGGACTGCCATCAACTGTCTTCTGATGCAGAGGATGGCGAGTCTATGGAGACTGATGTTGCAAGCACTCAGGGAGAAGATGGGAAAAGAATGCAGAAAAAACAAAGTAAGGCTGTTCAAATTGATCAAAGTCAAGAGAGGTGGGAAAACATCAAGAATAAAGGGATCCAAACTACAGCAGACTGTCTTTTTACCCCAACAACTACTGTTACAACAGCAACACAGACATCAGAAGAAATCTGTAGACAGGTGGAAATGGGAACCAGTATGTCTGGGCAAAAACCTGGGCAACAAGATGTGAACATTCAAACTGATGAGAGTGGGGAAAAGCTTGTCAACACCTCTGGAGACGACACGGACTCCTTGCGCAGTCAGGTGGGATGAGGGCTGCCTGTATTTAACTGCTTTAGGACAGTAAAGTATCCTTTCAGCCAGTAGATTCATTAACAGTTGGTTTTCTATTGAAAAAAGGCCAAGGACCATTTTAAAATGCTAATGTCACAAGCTGTCCTGAATCAACTGCTAAGGTAGCAATACTCACGGGACGGCATGAATTTGGGAGGTGTTTGTCTCCATATGTATTTTCTGGAAAAATGGGACACGTTTTGATTGGTTGGTTGATTGTTTTTGTGTGGGACTAGGTTTTTTATCAAGAGAGAGATTAGAAAAATGATTTTTTACTAAACCTGATTTAAGACTAATGTGTCCTGTGGGAAATAGGAGATTAACAGGGCCATAAAAAGACAATGCAAGATTGATGTGATACATGTGGGAGTCTACTCAATCAAAGAGTATCAGAAGCCATGCTAAACATGTTTGCTGTTTCCTCCTTGGACTGTTAAGATTTCCCTTCCTCTAGTGTCAGCAAAATGTGTTCAGTTCTCCTTTGTTGTGTGTCAGGGTCTCCTGTGTTGCATTAATTTGTAACAAGATGCTTAAAGGTTCCCTACTCTGTCAGCAAAATGTGTTCAGTTCCCCTTTGTTTAGGGTCTCCTGTGTTGCATTAATTTGTAACAAGATGCTTAAAGGTTCCCTACTCCTGTACTTTAACATGGTATGAAGAAACTGTACTGTAGAGGTAGCCCTACTCAGAAATAGTTTGCTTTTTGTTGTGGTCTGTTTTGGTTTTACTGTATCCCCTCTATTACAGGGAGAGGAGGAATTTAACCTTCTTTACCCACCCAAAGGCCGAGTTCAGCGTCGCCACATGCGAACTATTCGAGAAGTGCGCACTGTTGTTACGCGTGTTATAACAGATGTTTACTACATCAATGGTGCAGAGGTGGAACGAAAGGTGGTTGAGGTAAGTTCCTGTTTTCATGGCTAAATGGGATGAGATATTGGCTGAAAGATAGAAGTTATTAAAGTGAGAACATGTTATGACTGCAGGAAACAAGCTGAATGAACTATATGCTGTGATGCCAAGGCTTTCTTCATGAGCAGACTTGCAGGGCATTTAGTGGATGGCAAAAGCTATGGTTTTGATGCTGGTACACTTCATGCCATGTGTTCTCAAGAAACATTCAAGTCCCAAAGAACTCAACAAAAGACTTTGTGCGTGCAATTATTTTAAAAGTCTTGGAGTTTTGGCAGAATAGAGCAGAAATTCTATTAGTAAACAAAAATCACTTCTGCCTGTAAAACTATATAAGATAGTTTAGCCTGTTTTGCAGTTCAGTGTAGTTTTTAACCACAGTCTTTTTGAACCCTGTGTACCAGATTCTGTAAGGGGTCTTCAAAAGTCAACTTAAAACTGAGGAACAAACCAGCCTTCTATTAGTACACTTGTGTTGTGTCAACTCATTAATTGGAAAGTCTTTAGAGAATCATGAAAGATAGCTGAGAAATGCTGATTTGATGAACACTATAACCACATCAGCCTGTTAGCAATAAAATGTTACTACTATTCTATGAAGGTAAATAACATGAGAGTCTTGTGCTGTGTAGTCACAGTGAGTAATGAAACAAAAAGATAAACTAGTTCAATACTTTTACAACTGATACTACACACAAAATTCTTTTTTGTAACATAAAAATGGAGAATTAAGTGTCCTGAAATATGCTTACATAGTTTATGTAATCACAATCATATAACCATTTGTGCTTTACCTACCACCACTTTATATCACTGTTCTGTAGATGCGTTTTTTATATCCATAAAGCTTTAGTAACTCCAGATGACAAGCTGTCTGGAACTGATCTTGGATTATAAGCAGCCCAAGCTCCTAGTGTCATGTATGTGCTGCAATCTCACACTCTGTAGGAGTGGGAATTATTCAAAGCCAGACCAATTGGATACCAAGCTGAGCTCTTCCGTGTTGCTGAGGAAACTTCCCTGTCCAGACATCCGGGAGCCACTTTGGCAGTCACAACTGCACCACGAGCTGGGACTGAGGCCCCTTCACAGTGGACAGCTCCAGTGAGCTGATGGGTGCCCTGCTTGAGTCCTTATGCACCCCACATTCACACAGTCAGATCAGGTTTCCTCACTGACCGGACCCCAGGTTTCCCATGGCAGAGTTTCAGACATCTGGATCCTTAAAATAATTTAATCTTTTTGCAATAACTAAATAACAAAATAACAGCTTGAATTGGTGCCTCCAAGGAGAGACCTCGAACAAAGGTCACCCTGGGCTTTTATACCCTTACAGTCTAAGCTGGAAAAATGTGGGAAAATCTGGGGTGTCTTCTGTTCCTGCTGTGCCTCCAAGTGTCCAGGTCCCACGACTTTTTGCCTGGGGCTCTCACCCCCCAGAGCTCAACATGCAGCTTGCACTTGCAGCCCTGTGCTACCTGCACTGAATGTATTCCTCACCACTGCTGACTGAGTTCTTAATGTGACTTCTTGATACAGAGCAGCTGCAGGCCTGTAGTGAGAGATGCACTGTCTACCACGGCTTAGCCCAGACTGAAGTTTGTGTGGCTGTCATCAGCTTCATGAATGTGATATCAGCTTGTCTGCACTTTGGACTGGTGATTGTAAAGTGTCTAGCACTTGCATCATCTTAGACAATCGTCTTTTTTGCTTATTTTAAGGAAACTGAGGAGCCTGTAGTGGAGTGCCAGGAATGTGAGACCGACATGTCCCCCTCTAGAACTGCAGGGGGCTCGTCGCTGACCTCAGGGGACCTTGGTGATGTCAGCTCTTTCTCGTCTAAGGCCTCGAGTCTCCACCGTACATCCAGTGGAGGAAGCAGTGGTCACTCTGCCACACACAGCAGCAGCAGCTCAGGGCGAGGAACTGGAGCTGCAAAAGGGAAAGTGTGTGGGACAGAAACCGGAGAATTTGCTTTACCCATTGGCAGAGGCATCTTAGGAAAATTGAGGTAAGTGTAGAGTCTTAGGAAAAGAGGAAGAGATGTTTTGCAGAAACAAGCATCTGGCTTGTGAGTGTGAAGTAGGGTAGGCCTAAATCAAAGGTTTTCTGAAAAAGATTTGGCTTGATGAATAGAATTAAGGAGGTAGTATTTGCTTTTGCATCTGTTCTTCCTGAAGGAGTAGCTTGTTTCCTTGTGAGTCATTACTTTGCAGTTTAGCAGCAAAGAGGTAAAATTCTGCATATGTTGTGAGATGATCAAGAAAATGGGAGCATCCTAGTGAGGTGACTTCTCTCAAAACAGTTTACTCATAAATTCTCTAGCCCTAGGAAGGGAGCTGGTCAGCCTGCATCGTCACTCAGAGTTAGCCAGACAGGAGCACTGCCTTGTGAGGAAGAGGACTGTATGCCTGGCACTCGGCAGGTTGGCAGAGTACCTGTGACACTTCGTGGACGAGGAAGAAGAGGACGCCCACCATCTCGAACAACAGGAGCAAGGTACCCTGGAAGAAGGAGACTGTGACTTTAATTTATTGCAAGAAAGAGAATAGGGAACTTCTATCTTAATGTCCTAGAGGAAAAGGAGTACTGAGTATTTTAGAAGTTTCTGGTAATATCATATAGCAGCTGCAAGCACCTCACCCCAGGTATTTTATACTTAGTAATTGTTTTTTCAGATCCTTCTGGGAATGCTTTTTTTTTTTTTTTTTTTTTGTTTTGTTTTGTTTTGTTTGTTTGTTTGTTTGTTTTCTTCCCTCCCTTATATGGGACTGTTTTTTTCTACAGAGATTTAGCTGGACTACCTGTTACGGAGGATCTCTCAACTACAGCATCACCTGAGGAGAAATCATTTACTCGTTCAGTTCGCCTGCCAGATGGAGAAGAGAAATCTGGCACTTCTGGCTTCTGTGCCTTACGTCGTAGTGACTCTCCAGAAATCCCATTTCAAGTGGTGACTGTTCCTTCGGACTGTGCAGACTCATCCACTGGGAGCAGCTTTGTGGGCCTCAGGGTAGTAGCAAAGTGGTCCTCAAATGGGTACTTTTATTCAGGGATGATTACCCAAGATGTTGGAGCAGGAAAGTACAAGCTGCGCTTTGACGATGGATATGAGTGTGATGTGCTAGGAAAAGATATTTTGCTGTGTGATCCTATCCCACTGGAGACAGAGGTGACTGCACTCTCTGAGGATGAGTACTTCAGTGCAGGTGAGAGCAGCGCTTGGGTTTGATACTTGGTTTTCTGAGTTGCTGAATGTGGTGGGAAACGGGTGCTTGTTCCAGGAGGATGAGAAGCCTGGGTATGGTTGGCTAACAGCTGTTAGTTGCTGTCTTGTCAGGTGTGGTGAAGGGACACCGGAAGGAGTCTGGAGAGCTATACTACTGCATTGAAAAGGAAGGCCAGAGGAAGTGGTACAAACGAATGGCTGTTATCCTGTCTCAGGAGCAAGGAAATAAGCTGCGGGAGCAGTTTGGGCTAGGTCCTTATGAACCTGTCACCCCTGTGACCAAAGCAGCTGACATCAGTCTTGGTAAGGAAAGGTGCTGTTGAGCTGCTCACTGCTATTCTGTGTCTTGTGCCTTTGAGGTAACTCTAGTACCTGATCTGAATTGCCAGTGTTTAAATGTTTTTGGGTATTCAGTGATGCTTTTTTACTTTATAGTGAGATTTTTGAGATCCTTTTATTGTTTGGCAGCGGAGACTTAGTGGTATTGACTGGCTTCTGGAACATGGTCTGCTTCAAGGACAGTGATGCTTGCCATACTTACATAAACTTCGTGGATGGCTGCTTTGCTAATAAAGTCCCAGCAGTACTGGGAGGAAAATAGACAAGCAGGGTACAGGGCTTGAGAAGAAAGATACATTTTTTTTCTTGCTTTCCTCTCTCAGAGGGTGGTGGCATGTATCTTCAAGGTACTATTGAGTTCAGCCACTTGTGTACAGATAGGTAGGGTGAAAGCTTGTGGAGTTTGGTGACAGCCCATGACTAATTCCTGCGTACTATATTGCAGATAATCTGGTGGAGGGGAAGAGGAAGCGACGTAGTAACCTTGGTTCTCCCAGCACTTCCAGCAGCAGCACAACTCCCACTCGTAAAGGGCAAGAGGGTCCACGTGTCCCACCAGTCTCACTGTCTGGGAAAAGGAAACTTATTGCTTCTGAAGATGAACGATCCCCAGCTAAACGTGGCCGCAAGTCAGCAATGATAAAGGCTGGTGAGAACTTGAATTCATCTAGTTTTTTCAGCACTGCTTTTTCTGTAATTATCTTTCCACTTTCCATAACTAAAAAGTAGATAAGATTGCTTTTTTTTTTCCCTGCATGGTTTGAGGCTGATTCTCCCTGGATGCATTCAGCAGCCAGAGATATTTACTTGCTGTCTTTCAGTTCTGCCTTTTGACTTTAATGTTGTGATTGGTCTTGCTCTTATTTCTTTAGTCAGTCCTGAATGCTGTTAAAGGGACCCCTCACAGCAGTCAGTGTTGTTTCAGGATGTTGATAAGACTTGCAGACTTGTCCTATTAGTCCTTCATGTTTTGAAAATCTGGAAGGATAAAAGATCCCTACCTAGCCTAGTATAACTGTAGCCCAATCCTGCCTCTGTGTCTCCTGTAGTAAAATATCTGAGTTTAACTGATTCCTCAGGTAAGACATATCTTTGAAAACTCATGCTGCTTCTGTCTCTCTGCAGGGGCTGTGAGAACTGGAGAGTTTGTAAGCACCTGTGAAGGTGTAGATGCTGCAGATCCCCCAGTACTGGACAGTGACCATGGACCCTTGCCCCACAATAAGACCCTCTTTTTGGGCTATGCCTTTCTTCTCACCATGGCAACACCAAGTGACAAATTGGTCAATCACCAGAAGCCATCAGATGGTCCCACTGGGAGCAGTGAGGAGGAAGAAGGTGAGGCAAATCTTATCCCTTACATTTTCAAGTGAGATGCTGTGTCTTTAGGAAAAATGCTGGATACTGTCTGATCAGACATTTGTATGAGTACTTGTTTACCTTTTTGCTCTTTAATCCTTTGCAGAAAGGACCTAAGACTCAGTCTCTGACTTAGCCAACTTGCGGTCTAAGATGTGACAAACCTCAATGATGATCATAGGCTTGTTCAGCAAGCTAAGAAAGGTGTGAAAATTAGTGAGATCATCAGTGTCAGAATAGTATAATGTAAGAAGGAAGGTTTTGAGAGCTGAAGGATAGTGCTGGCAAGCATAGAACTTGAAAGCATGTATGGATTGTTCCAGTTAGCCTTTGCTGGTGTCATGTTTCATGCAGTCAAAGAAGTGACAAGGTGCTCACCTGGCTACTGGTGTGTTGTTAGAAAGTCTTGGGAGAATAGCTGGGATCCCTTACGGAATGAATGAGGGCTTTGTAAACTAAGATGTAGGAATATAAGCAGATAGTTCAATTTTTGACTATAATCTATCTGCTGTAGATTTTTTAGAGATGACTCCATATGATAAACATTACATAGCACAACAGCTGCGAGCAGGAGCTGGCTATATCCTGGAAGACTTCAATGAAACCCAGGTAAGGGTTTACTTACTGATCTAGAACAACAGTCACAGAATAGTTGAAATTAGAAGGCATTTCTGTAGCTTATCTTGTCCAGCTGCTCTGCTGAAAGTAGGCTCAAACAGAACAGATTGCTTAGGTCCTTGTCCAGTTGTGTTTTGAGTATTGTCAAGGATGGAAACAAAAAAGCCTCTCTGGGCAGCTTGATCCAATTAGGGAAAAAAAAAAAAAAAGGAATTTCTTGTATTTCAGTTTGTAACTGTTGCTTATTGTCCTTTGAGTGGATAACACTGAGAACAGTGTGGCTGCATCTTTTGTATACCCTCATATCAGTCATGAAAATGCATTAAAAAGACCACCCAAGCCTTCCCCTTTTGATCTTTTAACAAGCTCAGCTCTCTCAGCTTCTTCTGGTACGTCAGGTGCTCTAGTGCCCAGGCTGTCCTTGGTAATGTCCTTGGGCATTGTCCAATGTCCTTGGCTGGACCTGCTCCAGCATGTCTGGTGTTTTTAGTATACTGCAGAACCTGGGAGTGGATGAAGTACTCTAGATGGGGGTCTCACCACAGGTGTGTGCCTAGGAACACTTAGAGGTAGAGCTCTTCACTTACCAGATGTACTTGGATAACTACTGCAATTTAGTGTAGCTTTTACACTTTTTTTTTTTTTTTTAATAAAGAGGTAAATTGGTTTAGGAACATCTTGCCTGAGAAAGCAGTCTTGTCTAGTGACTTACTGAGTCTCAGACTAAAAGGTAAATCATCTCTTTTGTCTGAACTTGAAGAGAGCTATGATACAAAAAATACTAGGCAGAGTTTTTGCCTAGAGCAGCTGCAGAGCTTGGAATAGGACATGATTAAACAGATTCTGAAGTCAGTACTACCTTTATCTAATTCACCGTTCACATAATATGGCTGTGGAAATCAAGGTTTCAGTTGTTTTCTTCTTTAACCTGTTTGGCATCAGGCTAATTTCAGGGGTTTTTTTGCAAGCATTGCCTCCTGTTTACATGCCTTCTTTTCTCCCCTGAAGTGTAATGCAGCATACCAGTGTCTTTTAATTGCGGACCAGCATTGTCGAACTCAGAAATACTTGCTGTGCCTTGCCAGAGGGATCCCTTGTGTGTCTCATATCTGGGTCCATGATAGCTGTCATGCTAACCAGCTTCAAAATTATCGGAATTACCTTTTGCCAGCTGGCTACAGCCTCCAGGAGCAAAAGTTGCTAGAATGGTGAGTGCCAGATAACCATGATCTGAGTCTACAAGACTCTTGGAGAGACCTGTTACACTTGGGAGGCTCTTGAATAGCTACAAATACTGAAGGTGACCTGAGTACTGTTCCTTATACTTTCCCTTCCATATAGGAACAGCACTTCCATCTCTTTCCTTGGACTTACAATGACCTCTAATGCCAAGGTACATTTGGGTGCCATATACATAAAAATCAGTCTTTTTGGAAGTCAGGAAGGCGTCAGCCTTTCTCATGAGGAAGGCAGAATTCAGACAAGGCTTCCCACACCCTTGGCTAATTTCTCTAATTGCTCAGAAATGGATAAAGGAGAACAATACTATGTTAATTTCCTTTTCCTTTGATACGTTTTGAAGCTAGCTTCTGCACTTTCTATGGAGTCTAATCCAGTAAGCCTGTTCTGAGATGACAGAGGAGGTCAGACTCCTTAGGCAATCTGAGGGGCAGACACAAATTTGTAGATAGCTGTAGACTTTTAGGCAGGAGACTGAGATCTTCCTGCTCAGCCCTGTCAAAGTGGAAGCAATTTGGATGTGCACAAAAAAGGTGGTTCAGGATTAGGGAATAGGTCATTTTAACTTTGGATACAGGCTGCTGCACACATACCCTACCAACACGGTCTAGCTCTATGTTAGTCTCTATAAACAAAGGATAGTCACTCCAAGTACCTCAGGAGGGGTGGTAAGAGAGTGGGTCATTGTGTGCAAGACACTAACAAAACATATATGGGAGCAAATCAGGTGACTAGACTACTGGATATTCTTACCAGTCTGCATTTCTCTTTACTCTGCAGGCACCCACGAGAAAACCCATTCCATAACCTGAAGGTTCTCCTGGTGTCAGACCAGCAAGAGAACTTCCTGGATTTGTGGTCTGAAATTCTCATGACAGGGGGAGCAGCATCTGTTAAACAGCATTACTCACATGCTCACAACAAAGGTACTCACTGGCCAGTTTCTCAGGGAATCCTATGCCACTGTGGTCTTTAGTATGGTTTAAAACCATGTGGGATGGTTTACAAGGTTGTCTGTAAGCAGAAAGGCAGGCGAAGGGCGGACGCTTGCTACTCTAATATAATCTGTGTATAGATTACATCTAGGACACCTGTCTTGCAGAGAAGCTGCAGCAATTCAGACAAAAGCCATCAGTTTCCAGCCTATGTTGAAAGAGGGAAATTGGTCTCTCAAATTGTGCTTCCCTTGTCCTTCTGAACTGGGCTGTCTCTCCCTCTCCATATGTGATGTAGGCCCTAGCACTCACAGCCTGAGGTCAGGACTCAGGGTCATGCCTATACTGTTGGCTACTGGTTTTCCCTTAATTTTTATCTGGACTAAAAGGAATATTTTATTGCGAGGTGCAGGGCTGCTGTAGGTGTGTCTTAACTTTTACAAAGAGAATTCGCTGCCTCGGAATGAGAAGATGTAAGCATGGTTCACAGTGGCAAAACACACTGATCTGCCAGGTTGGATGGGGCTTGAAGCAACCAGGTCCACTGGAATGTGTCCCCATTCTTGGCAGAGGGTGGAATGAAATGAGCTTTAAGGTCCCTCTCAAACCAAATAATTTAGCATTCCATGCTTCTATGATGTTCTGCTGCAAGGCAAAATGCTCTTTCTTCACCTGACAGATGCCTGTCTTTCCTCCTGTACAGATATTGCTTTGGGTGTTTATGATGTGGTGGTGACTGATTTTTCCTGCCCAGCTGGTGTCTTGAAGTGTGCAGAAGCTTTACGGCTGCCTGTTGTCTCGCAAGAGTGGGTGATCCAGAGTCTTATCACTGGGGAGAGAGTAGGCTACAGGCAGCATCCAAAATATAAACATGACTATGTCCCTCAGTAAGTGAAAATGTCCTGCTGTCCAACTGTTGTGCAGACTGTGTTTTAAACAGGTTTTAAATGTTTGTGAATTGGGCAGTATGCATGGATTATTGTATATAGTTTTATCTGCCGGACTTTTATGATTAAATAAATGTTTGATCTCTTGTGGTAACTGCTGGTACTCCTTGTTTATCTAAACTTATTCAGGGCAATGCCTTCAGGAAAGGAGTGCAGAAAAAAAAGAAATGCTTAAATTTCTCTGAGCGAAATATTACTAATATTCTGATTTGAGTAAAGCCTGAGCTAACACAAAGTCAATTGTGTTGAGGAAGGGGCGTTTTCCATTAGCAGAAGTTCAGGGTCGTAGCATTTCTGCTTGTTGGGAAGAACACTATGTTGTGTATTCTTCCAGTTTGCTCCAGTTGTTATTTTCTATTAATTTCATTAAGGTGCTGCTGGCTGTTTTTACTATGTCTTCCTGAGTGAGCAGAGAGGACTTTTTCCCCCCAAGGACATGTAACTTCAGTGTGAGCTGCAGCTGTGTGCAAATACCAACCCTTTGAGGGGAAGGCTGGTTTCCTGGCAGCATTTGTGTTCAAATTGGGAAACCAGATACAACACCCCAGTGATGGACTGGAGGCTTCTCTTTTGCCAGTCATTCAAATGGACTTCCATGAAGATGATCTGTTCATTATAGCAAGGCTAGGAAATCTTAGTAACCGGCAAGAGCTCCTGCCAGATCCTGCTCTTCAATGACAGACAAGGCCATGCCAGGCTATTCCCTTTGCACTGGGGTGCAGACATTGAACATACTCCATATAATTGCACGACAAGATGTTTTTATTTGGGCTCAGTAGGGTAGTCACTAAATAGTCTGGAATGAGACCAGCGCAGGTGAACGTTCCAGGTAAGCATCTCCTTACCATTTTCCTGCCGGCAGAGGGCGCTGTCTGCTCAGACGGGGCAAAGCTGTCTTGGCAAGTGTAATTTTAGCACATAAACTATTAAATTGTATAGATAAAGCATGTGATAGCCACAGTGTCTCCATGACCTATGCACATATACTAGACTAGTGCACTGCATGAGAAGAGACTTAAAAAAATCTATTTCTTCTTCCCTCCCCGTTCACTTCATTGCTACTACTGTTTACCTGGTGGTGTTTGATTAGCAGACATTGTGTACTGTAAATCAGCTTACTACACAAGTAGAGCTTCTGAATACAGCCAAAACTTCATTTGTAGCCAAGAACAGGATTAATTCCTCCATACTCGAACCTGAAGTGGAACACAGTCCAGCTGAAGAGTAAAGACATTGTAGTCCGTCCAGCTGAAGAGTCCAGACATCTAATTTTTATGAGTTCAGAAGAAATGGAATAGCTTTCTGTAATCGCTGGGCAGCCTCACATAAATGACAATTCCTGCCAATTCCCTGTGAAACAGCAGTTCATCAGGCAAAAGCCAGCTACAAAGAAAAATCTGTTTGAGTGCAAACTCTCCAACTGTCCAAGAGCACCAGTCTCCAGTGCTTGATGCATCACTAGTCACAGCCTGAAGCAAAGGCCTTTAGTGCTTAAACTCCAAAACTGCAAGAGAAAGGTACAGTATTAACTATGTGTTGAAAGTAATTCCCTTTACCAACCCACACCAGCATTTTTTGGCCAGTATGAGCTAGCAGCTTGTTCAACTTTCTGCCAAAAGAAATTCAATGGGAAGAAAGCATATGAAATCCAAAAATTACCGTATGATGATTTGTTACTTCTCTGTCATAGTATTTATCAACACTTAGTGTAAGTCAAAATAATCAGAAGCCATCAATAAAAAATGGCTTTGTACTTCAAGTACCTCAGGATAATGCTATAAGCAGCCTTCAAGATATTCCTACCTGCCCAAGGTTCCTCCAGCCTGGGTGTAGTATTTGTTATAATCCAAGCGTAGCAGCAGTTGAGCTAAGTCAGAGTTTATCTGATGATTGCGAACACTGGAGAGAATCTTGAAGAGAAGTGATGACTGACGACTGAATCCCTACAAATTTTAAGATGTCAGTTCTGGGCCTTCTCAGAAGAGAAGGAAAACAAGCATCTCATCTCTGTTTCTGCCTACCCAGTCCTTTAACAGCCTGAAGAAGAGAATCACTACAAGAGATGTGATGCTTGTGGTCCAGGGTAAGGTAAGATGTGAGCCACAAGAACTCCTAGATGTTAGTTATAAAAAAGGAGGGGTAGAGGTACCAACTCCTCTCTATTCCAATATCTGCCCCCGTTCCATGTCTCTGTGCACACGGAATTTCCAACTCAAGAAAAGTTCATTAGGTAAAATAATTACAAGCACTTACATAAAAGGTCTTGGCTTACACTCACACTTGTTCTAGAGATTTTAAAGTCAAGATAACTGCTTAGGCAAATGTTTGCATGGGAGGAGAACAGATCCACAGAAACATAGATTCACCTTCACCAAAATACTGAGTTGTGCAGCTCCCCGTTCATCTAAGGGACCCAGATTCTGACTGACCAGAGAACAAAAGCTATGACAAAGATCCAGAATTTCATTTAAGCAGTGGAAAACCTACATGGAATAAAAAGTACAAATTAATAGTTGAAACAGAGTTCATACACAGAGAGAAAGCAGAAAAGTTGTAGCATTCATAACAAAGATGTTGCTGATACTGTATTTTTTAGTCAGAAAGGAAGATACTGATGCAGCATTTTTAAAATGTTTTCTATGGAAAAAGGATTTAAATGTTATGCTGCATCTCCCCTCTGCCCCTCCCACAACCTTTTGCAGACATTTCTGAGAAAACAGCAATTGGCATGAACCATCCAGACAGGCACAGGAGTTGCACACTGGCTTCTCTATCCAACCAGCAGGTCATCACTGCAGCTTTGGGATTAAGAAGGCAGGATAAAGACCAACAAGAGCTGTGGTTCAAAGCTTTGGTTTCACTGTTTGCTAAACTAGGAATTTCCTTTGTATCAGTTATGTGACTGGATAATTAGTATTCTGACACCTTTATTCTATAATAACCTCATAGATGAGCACAGAGACGTTGTGTTTCGTTGAAACTAACCTCCTTTGCAAATATTTTTGTGAGGCTGTTTATAAAAATACTTCTAACTTTTTTTTTTTTTTTTTTTTTTTAAATGAAATTGAAAAGACCTTAAGTCCACTCAGGAACACCTCAACCATTTTTTTCCTCTTAAGTAGAAGAGGGTATTTTTCCTAGTCTAACGCATATCAGTATGTATCCCTCAGGAATACAGTTCCCAGCACTATGCTCACTGGCTCTTCTTTAATAAAATAGCTTGTGATAAAAACATAGTGATAAAATACAAGTTATTAAGGTTAACTGAACGCTGAAATAAGCTTGACTTAGAATTGCTAGGAATACAGCATTCACACTCACCAACTGTAAATTAGAAGATCTTAATTCAATTACCAGTTATAGTTTATACCTGCCTTACTCCTAGAATTGTAGTCTGCAGTCTGCAGGAGATTATCACTGATCTGTTTTAAAATTTGTGATTTGTCATACCTGTTCAAAAAGGTGTGTTTCTTAGGGCACTTAGAGAATTGGTAGAAAAAGGTGAAAACAAGCCCTACTTACAGGTTTCAGAAGGATGAAAGACTGAGCCAACAAGTTACTTAGGAAATGATCATGAGCCAATCGTATACTCTCAAAATCTCTTGTGGCGTTTATCTGCTGCAGAAGCTGTGAGAACTGAGACTCCAGTACATCGACCTGGTGAATTTGTGAAGATACCTCATTAGTGGTTTGAGGAACTGGGGGTGCCAGAAGTTTGGAATAAGAAACTTACTTTCCTTACTGCTACTCTTATGTTAGAGGCTGAGGATCCCCTTCTCTCTGGTGATGAATGAATTCTATACAAGAGCAGTACATAATGTGGGGTATGCAACAATTTTTGATGCCTAAGTAATATCTAAGTAGAAAGGGAAATGGTCATTTTCTTTAACTATGGAAAGGTATATAGCTAGCATGTAGACAAAGGTATTTGATTGTAGTAATTTCTGAATTTTATACTGGGAGATACTATTTGGAATCTTAGGGCAAAGGCTGCAGTACAAAAGCCCATCCAGATTACTGTGGAGAATTTAGAAATACAGGTTCCCTCTCAATTCTTTAAAAACCAAATCAACCAAAAAAGCCCAAAACTTAACTTAAAATAGAGTTCACTTAAGGAGGCCAGAGAAGGAACCAGGATGGTATCTTTATGATGGTCCTTCAGAGATGAGTGGTTTCTCACAAACATTTAGTAGCATTAGAGAGCTACTAAAGAACTCCTCTATTTCACTGATTCACAAGTCCAAAAACTTCGTAATTGTAGCAGTAGTCTGGGAACTTGAAGGAAGCTCTAGACTTGTGAAGGAAATCCTGATTTCCTTAAGGTACAAGGAATCAGAAACCTGAGACAGGTCTTCAGTGCTCCCTCCATGCATTTCTGCCAGTTTCTGATTAACTGATACAGTTTCTTTCTCTGTAATACTGACCTGCAGATAATACTGAAGATTGTCCACAAGGAAAGCCATGTGATCCCTCAGACGCCACTTGATGGCATCTGTTCTATTAGATTTCAGGTGTTTACGTTGCATCTGAAGAGCCCAGCAGTGCTGTAGTTCAGCCTGGACTCGTCGCACACTCAGCAGGTATTTGAACACAACGTTGTACCTACAGTCAAAAAGTAGAAAGCTGTTTAAGACGAAAATCTTCCTCTGTTACTGGAGAATGGAGTACTGGAGTTACTGTAACTGGAGTTACTGGAGAATGTAACAATGCAAGACTGGAAAAAGAAACAGGCGGTGACTGCCAATAGTTAGGGCCAATCAGGTCATGGCCCATGTGCCCCGTGGCACATCTTGTGGAGTAAGATTTCTGCTTGTATTGATTACTGACCTAAAAAATACAAAGTTCGCTTCAGTGTAAGGAGGGGAGCTGTCAATGAAAACACTGTTAAAGTAGTGCTGTTTGTAAATCGGTGCAGATCTGTCAGCATCTTGCATGTCTTACTGTCATTACAAGTACTTTCAATATGAGTAAGCAGAATTAACCATTTTAAGGTTCAGGGAGCAATAGCTCTATCTTTCTCTCCATAGAGAATAAAATCCCCCCAACACACTTGTGAATGCCTCACATCAGGGAACATACAGATGAATACAGAAAGACCATACCTAGTACTTACTTCTCGAGAACAGCAGGAGTAAAAAGAATGTGCAGTGGCCATTGAACTTTGTAAGAAAGGCCCAGAGCTGCCCATCCAGATGTGGGGGCTTCACGTGGAGATAATTCCCGGGAAGGCCCTTCACGAGTCTGAGAAGTATCTAAAAACAAGTAAGGTGCTGAATTGTTATCTTCTCAGTCAGTGCAACCATGGCAAGAAGGAAAAGGGAAAGAACAGAATTAAGAAGAACCAAAGTAGTCTAGGCCATCACATAGGGCAGTAAAGGGAACAAAATTAGTATTTCTTTAACTGAGAGAAGGGTAAGTAATCTATTTGAAAACAAGGTCACCATCTCCCCTCTTAATTTACTTCTAAAAATGCAAGTAGATACCTTTATGTTCCTTTCCATGATACTCAATGGTTAAGTGAAGAAGAGGAAGAAGGTTGTCATCATCTAACAGTACCTTATGAGCAGACTGCTGAAATGCAATGTTGACATCTGACAACAAGAGAACACATATCAGCACAAGATGATGCAGCTAGTGCTAATTTTACACCCATTAATTATTTACTCTTGGTCCTAAAAGACAAAATTGATGCACTATTGACACTCTTTTCTTTTAATTCCAGTTTCAAATACCTGCCATCAGAAGGTTTCTGAGAGATTGTTTTCACTTACTCTCTGAGACATTCTAATTCACAAGTGCTGTAGTTTCAAAACTAGAGAGTTAAGATAGAACTCTTCTGTACTGGACATGGCTTACCACTTTCCTGCTATACCACAATGAGGCCAGTTTGGTAAGCAAATAAGCAACACTCACCATGTTCAGTTACCGCCGTAGGTGGTGTCTTTAACATGTGCTGTGCGGTGTCAATGAAGGCCTGAAACAGCTCACCTCTTCCCAAAAGGTAAAAGTCTTTTATAATCTGTGGAGATAAATTTGTTCTACCTAACTTACCAAAAACTGAGCAGAAATTTTAGGCATCCTAGCTGATAGCACCCATTTTTATTATTTGGACAAGTGCTGTGTCTAAACACAGCTGGAGAGCTCTGAATTTCATTCACTGACCAAAAAGTCTACCCTGCCTTTGCTTCAAGATGCAAAGTACACATACCCCTCTAACTGTCTTTGGCCAAGTTCTATCAGTGTATGCTCATTCTTGAGACTGGAAAGTGAAAACAGCTTTATCTAGATGAAGAAAGCCCAGAGTGTAAGGCAGTAAAGTATTTAATAGAAAGAAAGAAGTGAAGAAAGAGCTACTTTAGCAGCTCTAAATAAACTAGCAGTTGCATTACCTTCAGTTGTCCTAGTAGATCTGATTCTTCCACCATCAGTTTCCAAAGATGCTAGTGAAGAAACAAAAATCAAACAAAGTGACAGAAACCTCGCCTCAGGCATTCAGAGAGGTGAGTAGCTGCTGTCTTAAAACACTTGCAATGCATACAGAAAGAGCACCTATACAAAATGCTATATAAAGTACAAGAGAACACAGTCAGAGTCTTGTGTAGCAGCCCATGCTACCGTTTAAAATTCTTTATATATACTGGCAAAAAACTCTGCCTAAGAAACCTGAAGACCTGTGACAAAAAAAAGTGCAAATTCCTATGAAACCAGTTCTACCCCAGCTTTGTTCTTAATTCTCTAACCTCCCCATTTTCTTAGGTTCTCCTCCCTGCCCCAAGTGAAAAAAAGATTAAAAACTACCAAAGCATGTGCACAGCAAGATGCCATCTATTATGCTGAAAGCAAATGGAAAGTTCTGAAATAATTTCAGGTGAAATAAAAAAAAATATATATAAAAATTCCCTTCTTTCCCTCATGAAAGAGCATAGTATTTGTTAATGTCCTTTTGTCACTAGAAGTTTGGTTTACGCAAAGCTCTGAGACCAGTTAGAACAGCTGCACCATTAACATGTTTGTTTAATCACTGGCACTGATGAGCCCTCTTCTTCCAAGTCCTTCACAAAACTTTAGAGCTTCTCAGCCTCTGCATAGTAGTTACCCTTCCTAGGATGCTCACCTCAGCAACAGTGCTCCGTATCCAGTCAACCACTGATTCAAAGTCCACCAAACTAAAAAGTGGTTGCTGCTTGAGTCGATGTAGCTCTGCTGCAAAAGTGTCCTCCTGGTTTTTTAGGATGGAGCCTGTGCAGCAATGAGAAGAATTTCAGAGAGTAAGAAGGCATGCAGACAGAAGAGGAACAGAAAGGCTGTCCAAGCAGCACTGTCGCAAGTCTGGCAAGGAATGTGAAGGGGAGGCTTCAAAGTACAAGTACCAAGGTATAAGATTACTATTGCATGTACAGTTGCAGTATAGACACTTGCCTCGGCAGTGCTGTGGTATCAGTAAAACCCCCAAATATTTTCTACATAAATGGTGGCCGCTAAAAGCCCTTTTTTGTGGACTGAGCTAGATCTTCAAACCCACAAACTTTTCTGCATCATTAACCAGTTGCTTTGGGTCTTCCCATACCCCTGCCCCTTTCAAATCTATCCTACTGCTTGAACTTGGGGACTTTGTGTTTTTTTAACCAACTGACCTAGAAGACCAATTTCTTTTCCCCCTTGCTTCTGCTACTGCAAGAAAACAGTTCACCTGAATTGGTCCTTTGTTCTCTGTAATGTCACTCAAGTAATTTAAGTACTTTTGCATAGGCATGCTCAAGGTGGAGCCACCACAGCAGTCCTCCCCCATTGGTGTAGGAATATATTTCCCAAACCACCCTCAATGCAAGTTAATCCCGTGACACCATTCTGCAACATAAACACTCAGAGCAAGATGTGCCTTTGTGACTGTATGCAGCCTTTTAGGGAGAAGGACACAAACTGAAAAGAAAACAAGGCCTTTGCAATCACTTTATCCAGAACAAATCGTATGGTGACTTGCTGCTGGAAACTTGGAGATTATGTTTGGAAAGTGTTATCTACTCATCCTGTTGTTACACCTCTGCCTTGGAATCAATCAGAAGCAGAATACTGGGACTACTGATCTGTCCTGGCACAACTATCCATATAGTCTGAAGAATAATGGCCAATAGTCAGTGACTGTTGAGGAATTTGTTAATGTGGCATTTTGGAAACTACATGTCAGTCACTCATAACTGAGCAAAGGTTGCAAGAAAGATGTTCCTTACCTTTTCTGGTCAAGTTAACATTCTGATTCTCAAACATCTGAACAGATTCTCCCACAAAGAGGATCTTCTCAGCAACCCGTACAGGAATGTATGAAGGCAGCATTTCTACTCTCAAAGAAAACTGCTTTAGAGATGGAGCTAACATGTTCTCCTCCTCAATCAAGCGCTGCCAGAGACACCAGAGAAAAGAAATCAAGTGCAAAACAGTGTCAGAAAACCAGATAGAAAAGGTATATAAAAGGGTGTATGTGTGAGGGGGCATTTAAGAGCATTGGAAGTAAGCAGAAAAGTAGCAGAACTGATTTGTATAATTTAAGTAAGCCAGTAATCTTCCTTATACTTCTGGTATGCTAGCAGATCTCCCTGGAGATACTGCTCCCATCAGAGTGCAGCAGAAGCTAAACTTTGTGGAACAAAAACAAATTGGCTGTATTAAAGGGTTATGTTACATAAGAAAAAGGAGTGTTATTGCAAATGCATTACATCAGTCTTTTACTGCCGTAAAAATGTTAACTAGCATTACCAAAAATAATCCTACCCTACACCCATTTCTATGTTTCAACACTGTTAGAACACTTGTGGTACAGGCCAAATATAAACACCTCCACTAGTGAGCAAATAGCTAAAGATCCAAAGGCTTCCTAGCAAAGATAAGGCAATTATCTCAGTTCCCATGAAAGTTGTTTTAGAACAATACAGTAAGTTATTAATTTTTTTTCTGAATGTTAATAAGGAACTCCAGGTATGGAGGCAAGATCTTACTTCACGAATGCAATATTAGTAATCTCATCTGGCTTTCTTGATACTGGAGAAATAGTTTCAGTGGTCCATAATCCAGAAAAAAATCACCCACAGTTTTGAGAATGTTTGCCATCTACAAAATTCTTCATTTCAATAGGAGAATTCAGTAAAAATTTGTATACTGGTGTTAACAGGTTGGCAATTTCTTAAGATTCTAGCAATACTTTTAGATGAGGCAATACCCAAGTATTTTATCGATCTATTCCACTAAAACTCAAGAGTTCTTATTTTACTCTTTGACTGAAGAATTGCCAACATTGTTAGTCGATAATACTGAAAAAAGAAGTTGCTTAGTCCACAATTTCCACCATGGACCTAGAAGACTCAACAATCTTCACTTTCTTTATCCAATATAGTGAAATAACAGATTTTTCCACTAACTGCCTTTTAAAGTTTTCCCCTGTTTTTGTCTGGGTGTAGTCCGTTTTCAGCAGAGACTGTTGGCACAGGGCACTTAATTACTATGCAACACAGAGTTTTTGTGTAGTCACAGCAAAGCTGCATGCACCACACTAACTCCATAAGTGCCCGTGAAATGTTTTCTCACCATAAACTAGAGGGTGAATTTAGAGTTGAACTTGCTCCACACTGTTCTCTATTCAGACACTATTCAAATGCTCAGTGTGGAAGAGTACTCCATTGAGAAAGGTGCTTTGCAAAAGGGCACTCTAATGGTATAGCATCTACTGGAAGTGTTACCACATTTCACCAGTGTGCTGACAGGTTGCTTCCTTGCTTAGAAGTCCATTGACTCTCACATGTTTTCTACCAGTAATGTCAGTAGCATTAACCTGTTATGTAACATTGCACAACTAATGGTTGTGCAAGAAAGGCACCTGACCCAGCTGCCCATAGAAAGTGTGCAAATCAAATCAACAGCCAAGTTCCCCACACCCTGTTCCTTGCAATTGCTCACATTACCACCAATGCCTATGCTAAACAGATCACAGTGTTGACCATAAGGAATGAGGAACCAGTCAGTCAAGAGCAGTGGGCATGCAGCAGCTCCCATTACTTGACATCAGTGTCTACACAGATTCCATCCATAGGGCTTTCTGCTGTGGGGTTATCCAGCTGTGCCAAACAATATGTCTCTGTCCCTTAGGCCTAGGAGCAACTATTACAGTATTATTTCGATTCACCATCCTAGAAGGTTTCAGTATATGTCTAGTCTAGCATAGCTCACACCAAAGTAGAATACAATACGCACCTTCTTTAGTTCACTAAGAACCAAAGATGCCAAGTTATAACTCGTAGATCTTACCAGGTCCTGCAGTTCTCGTAGCTGTTTTCCTGTAAGCCCCCCAATTCCTAAGTCATCATCATCTTCTTCAGGTTGGCTAGGGACATTTCCAGAAGAGGGGCCTTGTTTGATAAAGAACTCTTCATGTTGGTCTAGTAGCAATCCATGTAGCATCCAGGCAGAGAGCTGCTTATACATAACTCCATGACACACAGCCAGAATCCTGAGGTCAAGTGAAACAGTCAGGCCTTTGCACACAATAATCAAAACTTCACTATATGTTGTCCATAAAGTCCAGCTGGTCAGCCAGGCAGTATGGCAAGTACTAAATGGCTAATGTGGTATATCTCTTTTTTTTTTTTTTAACAGAGAAAGGTGGACAAAACTAGAAGGTGCAAAACTAAGCTAACATATCCTCTGAACATGTGGCTTCTCCATGGAAATCTGCTAGTATACCAGAGGTGTAAGTCTGCAATGGTTGCTGTTTCTACTCAAAGGACATTTTAAGTAGTTTGACTTTCTCCACAAGTACATATGAACATCACCACACTCACACAGTCACGTTTATGATTTTGAAGGATCAAAGATCAGTGATATGCAAAACAAAGAAGAAAAATTTGGGTCTGAAGTTTTCTAAGCCCTTAACTTCAAATTAATGGAGAAAGCCTTAATTCTCACCACAAGCCTGCTTAATAATGGGGATGGTGACAGTTTTCCCCTGCATGCTACTCCTACTTTTATACCATCAAGGCTGTTTTGTATGTACTGTTTCAACAAGTAAGAAAGACTTTGACACAAACTCCAGAAGAATGAAGTAACAGTTTTACTGGATCTACATACTTTTCAAGAGCACTGCGAACAGGAGGCAACCCCCCACAGCTATGTTTGTGGACTGTCTCCAATATCTGGCACCCATGAATCTGCAGAAAGAAAAGGTTAGACTAGGTATGTTATTTGGATATGTATTGACCTTTTTATACATTTAAACATTACACCTTCAGCTAACAAGAAAATGCCTTCACAAACTGAACAAGTCTTACAGAAAGAAAGTTGTAACATGCTGCATGTAGTGACAAAAAAGGCCTTCTATGTGTGGGTCTACACTCAAGCTTTTCTCAATACTTTCCCTTAAAAAAATTTAAGCATCTCTGGATTCTTAAAACATTAGCCTCTGCCTTTTTTATTTCAGGCAACAGCCAGAAAAAACAGACTCAGAAAAATTCCAACCACCAGCATCCTGTCCTATAAAATTCAAGACATCAAAGACTATGGGATAAGGGAAAAATTCAAATACAGTGCAGATAAATTTGTAAAATAGTCTCAATACTTACAGTAGAACTAGTAATAGGGCATCCATGACTGGAACTACATTATTTTCTAGTATTAGAAGTCTGGGATGGGGCAGAAATTACTTTATCAGTTAAAGAGAAAATCTGTTAAGAGAAACTAGCTGTAATTTTACTGTACCTTCTGAGTTTTGATCTGTTCCACCATGACCATCACAGAGGGGAAGAGTAACTGAAACTGCAGAACAAGAAGTGAAATATTGATTTAGGTTGTTATGTAAGGAAGAGAGGGAAAAAAACTGTACTTGAGTAACTGTGGACAGCAGCTGAACACAATAATTTCATTAAACTATTATCTGTCTTTCCTCACAAATTAGAAACATGACATGCAAATCTCCAGGAAGTATGTCTTCCCTTCACCGGGCCAAGATGCACGAAGTTACTACATTCCAGCAGTAGTTCAGGCTAAACACAGTCAGTGAGGAATGTGTGAGGGTCAAAGTGGAGGACCTTAGCTTTGTGTTGAAGTGTGAGGTGATCCTCTTAATAAGTCTGATTAAGGGACTACAGATGTAGAGGCATTAGATAGAAATGGCATGACATGATGGAATAAGCCTTGTTTATCCCACCCACTTTCTTATTAGACTCAATGAGGGATAAGAGCAAGCAAAGAACACTACCTCTTTAATTACATGTCATACCTGGTCCAAGGAGTAATTAACATGTGAGATGGAAAGATGTGGGTCAGCCAGAAACTAGAAAGATAAAGCAATTATTGAAAATTAATTATCACAACCACTGGATGGTGACACTACCCAAGGAATGACAGCTACTAGTCTAGCAGAGATTAATCAAAACCTCTAAAACTGAAAACAGAAGCCACAATAGTCTGAGACAGCACTAGGCTCTGACAAAGATGGAGCCCTTACTGAACTGAAGGAAGAGGGTTCAACACTTAATAGGATGAAAAGTAATTTACAATGGCATCTCACAGAAATAATTCGGAAGGCATCCCTCACATGGAAAGGAAAATATTTTGTTTCATCTTAGAAACTACTATTCATATATTAACTGCAGAAATGCCAAGTTTCCACAATCTGTCAGCAGCACTACAGCCTCTTGTTCTGTATCTCTCTCTCCTTTACCTCTTGTTCTAGGTCAAGCAGTGCCTGTCGATAAGGCTGCAGCACAGAATCAAGACCTGTGCAGAAGGCTCTCAAATAAATGCCATGCAATCCACTCTGGTTTTGCTGAGATGGATGGTGATCCTAAAACCAAACAATAAAATCTGCATCAGCGTCCTGGTGCAAGTCTGAAGAGTAACGTAGTATCTGTGCAGTGCTCAGAACATGCTGAAATGCACCTTAACTCACCACAAAGTGATCAGAAAAACAAATACAACCTTGTCACAATGAGAGTTACTTGAGCAGACTTATATTTAGCTCTTTTGTGGACCTATGAAAATGCTGGGAGCCACTGGTACCAGTGCTTTTCATTTAGGTGTGCCTCTTGGATCTCAAGGCTCTTTGCAAATCATGAGACAGTCATGAGCATCCTGCTCAGCTGACAAACCCTGGCCAGTCTGCTGTGGTTAGAATTTATTACAAGACTTCCCCAAGAATAAGATTTTACATTTGATTCATTCTTCATTGCTCTCTACCCTCCCTTACAAGCATCGCAGAGAGCTTTCTGAGCTCTGCTCGGTGCGAGCGCGGGTATGGGCCACGGGCCACTCCTGTGTCCTGGGCAGCTTGGCCTTACTGGCACCTGCCGCGCTCTTCCCGGGGCAACACCGCGGCCCGGCGGCCCCACCTGCTGCTGTACGTGTCCCGTGTACTGTTCCACGAATTCGGCGAAGCGGATGTAGTCGGTGCCGAGGCGGCAGAGCCGGTTCAGGACGCTGGTCTCGCTGGGGTGCAGAAACGGCAGCTCCTGAGACACCTGGAAGGGGAAACAGAGGTGACGGACGGACGGGCCGCGGGGGGCGGGAGGCAGGGGTGGGCTTTGCCCAGGGCCGTGCCACACCTGGAGGCCGCCGCGCTTGCTCCAGGTGAAGGCCGCCCCTGGGTACCCGCTGAGGGCCAGCAGCAGCTCGTGGATCATCCTGCCGCGCGGGGCCGCGCGGGCTGCCGGGAGCACCGCGGGGGCCGCCGGGAACGGCGGGCGGGGGGCGCGGCGGAGCGGGGCGTGAGGGCGCGTGCCCCCGCTCACATCCCGGGCCTGGCGGAGCGGGGCGGGAGGGTGCGTGCCCCCGCTCACATCCCGGGCCTGGCGGAGCGGGGCGGGAGGGTGCGTGCCCCCGCTCACATCCCGGGCGCTCCAGGGGCGCCTTGGCTTTGGCTCGCGGCAGGAGCAGGACGGTGCATAACGTGTGTGGCTGTGATGGCGAGTGCCTGTTCGAGTGGTCCCAATCCAGGACAGCAGCAAATGCGCAGCCTTCTATGTAGACTTGGTTTCGGTATGCCTCAGTAGGTTTCTTTAACGGTTTCTCAAGTCATCTGTCGGTGTTTTATCAGTGGCCGTTTTACCTTTCTCCCTTTATTTTGTATTGCTTTCCTTCACTTCCTGTCGTATTCCAGGTAGTCTTTTAATCAAAACTGTGTCGTTTGAAAACTATGAAGTTATTTAATAAAGTGGTTTTTAGCAGCCTCTTTTTCATTCCTCCCCCCCCCCCCCCCCCTTTTTTTACAGTGTTTTTCTCTATGTGCATTTTTAGTCTTCTTCATTCAGAAGAAATGATTGTTTAGTCTTAAGGGTCATGTAATTTGTATTTGGTTCAGCTTGCCACAATAAGGTCTGAAATGTAGGAAGAATAGGGGCATGTACTATCTATAGCTATACAGCTTTATGTGTAAATTGGGAGCCCCAACATTATTGTTTATCATGTATGAGTACAATAAAACTGTCATCTTTCTGTTGACAAACCTTCTAGCGTCATGATAAAGACTGAGGAGTTGGGCTAGACATTTGTTATGCATCCTTGACATAAATATCACAGTATACATTTGGTCTAGAAATCCCTGCAAAAGAACAGATAACAGTAGTTTATTTAAAGGATTTTGGTGCTCATTTTCTCTGGGAAGCCTAGTGATTAGTCATTAAGGCAAAAAAACTTAAAAGATTTTTTTTACAGAATTGGTTGCTCAAATTTTGAAATTAGAGAAAAATAGGTATCTCTATAATATTTGCAGGACCATCTGACTAGTGCTTATTCAACATTAAAGGAAAAAAATACAAGGAACAGGAAAGGCAATAAATTAGACACGTAGATACACAACTCCTGATGAAAACATTTCACAGAGTCAATAACAAACACCAGAAATCTTAAATCTGGGGAGCTGTTATAGGTACAATTGAATATGACCTTTAAAAGGTTCAGAAAGGTTCTTTGATGATATGTAATAATAATATTTTATTTTTCTTATCAGAATGAGATGTTTTTGAGAGAGGATAGTGGCACTATGCAAAAAATGTTATGAGATTTTTAGGGGGAACCAAATGAATTCTGCACTCCACAGTCTATATATAAACATTATTTTGAATGTCTTCTCATTGCATAACTTCCAAGTGGCCACATGCGAAGTAATGCAAATATTAATAAATAGAACCCTAACTGTATTATAAAACCTTTTGTTTTGTAATTTATGTCTGGCATTCCCCAATGTAGTTATTTCTGTTTCATATTTCATTGAATTAACGTCTTCCTTTAATTAATTAATTAGGTTCTCTAAGATTGTTAGGTCCAACCAATGATTGAAAACCAACTTGTCAACTAGACTGAGGCACTAAGTGCCATGTTACTCTTTCCTCTGACATTTCCAGGGATGATGTCTCCACCACGTTCCTTAGCAGCCCATTCCAGTCTCTAATCAGCCTTCCTAATGTCCAACCTAAACCTGCCTTGGCACAGCTTTAGACTGTGTCTTCTTGTCCTATTGCATGTTGCCTAGTAAGTGAATGTACTTTTTGATGGGCTCATGGAATCATTGAGTTTGTCAGTGACCTCTAGAAGTCTCTAGTCCCACCTTGTTTCCTCAATACCAGGTGAACTCGAGCAGGTTTGTCCAGGACTGTGCCTAGTTAGGCTTGAACTATCTCCAAGAGCAGAGACTCCACAACTTCTCCAGGTAACTTGTTCCAGTGTTGGATCACCTTCAGAAAACAAATATTTTTTATTTTTGGGACTTTTTATGTTTTTCAGTCTGTTGCCCACTGATTCTTGGCATGTTCTCTTGTGCTCTCCTAATATGTCAGATGCTCCGAGCCCTTAATCAATTTCACTATATTTGTTCCATTATGTCCATGTCTTCCTTGTACTGGGAAAACTGAAACTGAATCCACAGCTGGAAAGATGAGAATGATTGATTGACTCCCCTTACCTGCTGGTGATGCTTTTCCTAACAGAGGCTATTGGTCTTCCAAATTACTTAATGTGTGCTTAGGTAGTAAATGTATGCCCTGGCACTGAAATTCATGGGACTAATTAAAATGGGCACATGGTGGCTGGCATTGTCAGTGCTCTGACCCTTGAACAAGAAATTGGCAAAGCAACAGTAATATGTACTGAGGGGAAGGAAATTTTCAGTGAGTCTCCTGTGGCAGTGCTGCTGGATATTCCTATTGTTTTGGGGCACCCTGCTTCCACTTGTGGCTGACGTTTCAGGTGAGTTACCACGGTTTGGTCAGCAGAGATGTTTAGATGGAAAGGCATGGCTGCTTCCAGCAAGGCCAGGTTTTGCTACTGTGAAGGGCAGTGCAGCTGGGGAACCTGGCAGGACAAGAGGACTTGGGCAAAGCAGCATGTGGAAGGCAGCTGGGCTGTGGAGGCTGAGCTGATAAGGCCACACTGCACACGGTGGGGCCCTCATGGGCTGGGCACACATGGCTGTGCTGGGAGGGCTGAGAGGGCAAGATGTGTGTCATGACCAGATTTACCTGGGTTTATCCGCATATGCTGGTGGAGTTTAGGTGAGAGCTTAGCTGCTTGTTAGGAACGAGGCTAACAGGAAGATTCAGGGCCAGGGCGCTGGCCCTGTGAGAGGGAGGGACCCCGGGGAGAGAGAAGGCGGCCAAGCCGGGTCCTTCAGGTTTAAGGGATGGGGCGGGCTAGACTGGGGGCTGGCTCCGGCCGGAGGGGGACTGCGCAACTCGTCGCTTCTCTCCAGCGGCAGCCGAAAGTGGCGGGGGCGCCTAGGGTGCGGCCGGGGCGGGGAGAGGGGGAGAGAGCGCGGAGGGGCGACTCCTCCCCCGCCACACCCGGTGCGGCAGGAAGAGGAACAGCCGCGCCCAGCTCTCGCTAGCCTCGGCCCGGCGCAGCGCCATGGCGGCGGAGGACGTGGACGGGCTGGCCGTGTCTCGGCCCCACTATGGCTGTGAGTACCGGGACCCCGGGGGTCTGGGAATCCGCGTGGTCGCCAAGCGACGCCCAGCCCGAGCTGTCCGTGCCTTCCAGCGTCCAGCGCTGGGAGGGGAGGCTGGGTCACCGCAGGCATGGGGGGAGCCGCGGGGTCCGGGCTCGGGAGTGCCCCGCGGGCGCGGTGCGCCCCGCCGGCTCTCCTCGCGGGCCCCGGCGAGCTGCGCCTCCCGCGAGATGAGCGCCGTGCCGGAGCTCGTCGAAGCTCGACGGTCCTCCTGCGTGCTGGAGAGAAGGCAGTGGATGAGCAGCGACGGGTCGTCCCACGGCTGTGCCGCCGTCGTCTGCCGCGGGCGAGCCCTGCGCCTCGCCCAAGATGTCCGCCGCGGGCGGGGCGGGGGCGGCCCTGCCTTCCGCCTTCCCGCCGATTTCGGCGACCACACCCGATTTACCGGGCGGAACGCCGCTCCCATCGGACACCTTCACTGCCTTGTCGTGGGCTTGCTGTGAAGAAGGAGGATCTTGGCGTCCGACACGCGCTCTCGCCTGTGCTATGATACCGCGTCAAAAATGATCAGCGGCGGAGGAAAACGTAGTGCTGTGGAGGGGCGATGCTGTAAGCGGCAGTCGGTCCGACCTGGTCTTTTAACACTTCCAGGGATGGGGTTGCCAGAGCTTCTCTGAGCAGCCCGTGCCAATGCCTCCCTATCTTCTTGGTTCAAGAATTTCTTCCTATCACCTGGTCTAAATATCTCCACTTCTAGTTTAAAACTGTTCCCCCTTGTCCCATCAGTATCACCCTCTTCCTTTTATAAGCCCCCTTTTAAGTGCTGAAAGGCCACGGTGAAGTATCCCTGGAGCCTTCTCTTCTCCAGGCTGAACAACCCCTGCTGTCTCAGCCTGCCGTTGTGGGAGAGGTGTTCCAGCCAACGGAGCATCTTTGTTGCCCTCCTCTGGACGTGCTCTAGCAGGTTTTGTGCTGAGGACGCCAGACCTGGATGCAGTGCTCCTGCTGGGGTCTCAAAACGGCACTGTAGATTGTTGTTGAAGTTGTTTTAGGTATAAGCTAACCTTTGCTTAATAACAGTATGAGACGTGTCCTATTTGTCAAATTGGTTCATAAAACCTAAAAAAGCTGCGGGTTTTTCTTCTTTCTTTGACATGAGATGTAAGTATGGGAAGAGACGACTTTTTCACTGAGTCTTCGAACACACAGAATCTAGACAATTTAGGCCTATTACCACATTGTAGGTCTTCAGCATGATCTGAAAATGGCATGCAGGTTGGGAATCTGAATTATTCCCTTCCATATAGGGAGTGTAAGTAGCATTTCCACCTTGTTTTAGAGGTGGACTATAAAGATATAGAAGGGATTATATGATGTGAATATGTATTTGTGTCCTTCCTTAATCTTTTGCTAGCAAATTGGAGGACAGGTGAGGGGACAAGTGGTCACTGATGTGCTTTTGAGGAAGACAAAGGCAAAGCTAGAAGAAAATAAGAAAATAAAGTGTTGTTTCTAAGAAATTGTAAGAGGGATGCAGTCAATTTGAGAAATCAGGAAGAAGGAATCTGGCAAATTTATGTGACAAGGATAAGGAAATGGAGAGTTTTCTCTTGCTAGTAAAGAAAAGTCATCCTTAGTTTTCTGAATTTAAAAAAAAAAAAAACAACTGTGATGAGTTTCTGTGGCAGAGGTTGGATCTGATTTTTGATGCGCATATTCCATTACATTCAATCTTCAACCATCTGAGGGCTGTGTTTTGCTTCTTTTCAGCTGTCTTGGATAATGAGAGGT